CTGTTCTGCCTCACATCCTGAAGCCTTACAGCCCCTCCTGTTTAACCTGGATTTTGTAAGGTGGCAAGGGCATCACCTTGGGAGAGCACAGCCCTGTCACCAGGGCCTTGTGTCCCTTACACCCCAGAGGGACCCCCACCCTCTGCCTGCCCTGCCAAACCCCCTCCCCCAGAGAGCTCTCCCTCTTGTGTTTACTGGTGTAAGAAACTTGTTAAAAAGAGATTGTTCTGTTTGTAAGTAATTATTCAGCCACTTGCCACAAATATATCTGTGAATAAGAAAGGGAAATGTTTTTTTTTCTATGATGGCGAGAAAATTGTATGTATTATTTGAGGTCGTCGCAGATCGTTTGGAATTGCAATGGGATACGTTGGAAAATAATATGTAAATTCCTTGGGTTTTTCCTTTGCACTAACTGGGGTAGGGTGGAGGGGGTTTAAAGATCAAACTGTTTGTTTATTGGAATAGTTTATAGCTGGGAATTTGGAAATAATTTGGAATAGCTTGTAATGCTGGAATAGAAACTTTAGCTGCTACTTAGAAACCCTTTTGCATGTGGTTTTTCCAGGCCTTTTTAAGTTACAATTCATCAAAGTAAATTCCCCAACAGGAAAAAAAAAAAAAAATAAAGTGTAATTTTGATGATAGGGTTTTTTTGTTTTTCCCAGCCATGGTTTTTCATGTGCCAGGGGTGTCAGGATCATGTCAGGGTCGTTGACACTAAAATCCCCTTGGCTGCACGGGGGCTCAGGGCTGGCTTGGCCCATCCAGGGAAGATGAGTGCTCCCAGGGATGGATCCTTCCTCATTCCTGGCATGAACAGTAAGTGCTTTTACCCCTCCAGAATTTGGAGTAGATCCCTCCTGTGGTGCCTGTCAGGCTCCTCCTCATTCCTGGAGCAGCTGCCCCTCGTGCAGTTGTCCCATGCAGGAGCTTTCCTGTGACTCCTCTCTTTTTCTGAGCTGAACCCCTGCAGGGTGGAGGAAAAAGGCTGATTTTCCATGGCTTTTAGTCACTCTTGGATACCCTATTCCAGCATCCCACCTGGCCCTGCATGCAGCAGCGTGTTCCAGAGCAATAAATACAAAACTTGCTTATAAAAGCCTGAGGTGTTCAAGAGGCCTCACCTTGAGCAGGGATGTGATGTCCCTGTGAGCTGCCATGTCATTTAATTAAGAACATTAATTTTTTTCACCCTTGGGAGTCCCCAGTGCTTCACTTTTCCTGGGGTCAGCTGGAAGGGGTTGTAGCAGTGAGCAGAGGAGTTTTACTCAGAGAATCAGGCCTCTACATTTTGGATGCTGGCTTGGGAAGGTGCTGCCCAGCCAGGTATTAAGCTTGGTCCAGGTGCTGACCCTGCCTGGGATAAGCTCTTTCTTTGTGGTCTAAGCTCTTTCTGTTTGGTCTAACCACAGATGAAATACCAAATTTAGGTGCCTGGACCCTTCTCTGCTGGTGCTGAGCCTCAACCTGGCCTTGGGTGGGTACAGTGGCACAGCTGAGCTGCCAAATGCAGCACTGGAGCCTGCAGCCAAGAGCTGGGCACTGCAAAAACCTGTTCCCATTTTGGGCTGCCAAATGCAGCACTGGAGCCTGCAGCCAAGACCTTGGCACTGCAAAAACCTGTTCCTGTTCTGTCCTGCCTCTGGGGACATCCCTGGGCACACGGAGCCCCTGGGGAGTGGCTGGGGCTGGCAGGTGGGTGCCTCCACAGTGGCTTTGCTCAGCTCTGTGCCAAAATCTTCTCCTGGGGGTTGCTCCAGCAGGGTGTGACAGCTCAGGAATAAATGGGGCATTGATCCAGCGTGCCCAGCCAGGGCCAGGTGCAGTAACCAGAGCAGGAGCAGCGTTCCAGGGGCATTAATAGCAGAGTAAATTCCAGCCAGCACAGCTGGTCCAGCCCTGCACGGCCCCTGGCCTGTCCCGGCATGGGGGGGACACACCAGGCACGGGGATTTATTTAATATTCTGATTTTTCCCCCAGCAAGAGCAGCTGCTGATGGGACGCCCCCCATGAGCTGGGCTCTGAGCAAACACGGCGTGGGGGTGGCTGTGTTTGCTGGGCCAGCAGCAGCTCCTGCTCCTGTCACAGGGTGACAGCCACCTACCCTGGGCTGGGACTGCCCCTCGAGCCCCCATGGCCACCAGCCAGAGCGTGGCCACCTCCTCCTGTCACTGTGGGCTGAGCTCATTCAGCCTGGGGCATCCCAAAAGCAGCGGCCAGGCTGCTGTGCCACCAGGGTGGGGAAACTGAGGCAGGGGGTGGCCAAGGGGAGAGCTCAGAACAGCTCTGCCCAGCAGGACTCTCTGGGATCTGGGGGGTTTTTGGTTCAGGGGCAGGTGCTGGTGGTGCTTCCCAAGCCCTAACTGAGGTTGTGGGGCAGAGCTGAGCCCACAGCTGGGATGGGGATGGATGGGGATGGGGATTGGGGTGAATGGGGATGGGGATTGGGGTGGATGGGGATGGGGATTGGGGTGGATGGGGATGGGGATTGGGGTGGATGGGGATGGGGATTGGGGTGGCAGAGGCAGTGCTGGCAGTCTGCAGCACGCCTGGCTGGCTCAGCCCTGCATTAACCACGTTTTCTGTGACCTAGAAAACTCCAGCTGGCGCCTGAGCCGCTGCGCTGCTTTTATTTTAGAATTAACCTAAAAATTATAGGGGGAGATTGAACTCTGTAGGCTCCCTCTACACTGCACTGATCACCCCAAAAAATAACCCCCCTGATTGCTGCTCTGGAGTCACATCAGGGCTCAGGGGGGCTGTGGGAGCTGCTGCTTTCCCCAGTGTCCATCCTGAGCTCAGTGAAGGGCTCAGGCTGCTGAAGTAGACTGGGGCTTGTATTGTTCTAGGTCTGCTCTAACCCAAAGGTCATATTTATAATTTGGACACGCTGATGAAATGGTTCTGGCCTGTCAAACAGAAACACCCCACTGCAAACAGGAGTTTAGACTTGTTTGCAGCCCTGTGGTTGTTCTGAGCAATTTACTCCGTGGAGAAGCCTGCAGGAGCTGGGGCTCTGTGTAAAAAGGAGAAACCAATTTTGTCTTTGGGAGAAGGAGGGGAAATGCTGCTGCAGACAGGGGATAAAGCTGGAATAAGGGAACCCCTCGGCTCAAACCCTTCCCAAAGTGGGGCAGTTTGGATACTGGGTACCACAAGGTGTCCAGCAGGCATGAGCAGAGGGATTGGGTACTGAGGAGCAGAAAAGGGGCATTTCCACTTAAGCTGGGCACTTAAAACCCCCCAAAAAAACCCATCCCATGGCTGCTCAGAGCTCTACAGAAGTGGGGGATGCTGCCTGGGGGCCCATGACGCTGCTGGGACCCCAATCCCTCCCAGCCCCTGCCAACCCCTGACTCCACCCCGACTTCTGCTTCTTTGAGACACCAGCATGAGGCCCTTCAGAACTTCTGTGTCCTGCCCAAACAGGCCCTAATTCCAGGGCTGAGCCCTGACCTGAAGGAACAACAAACCTTCACGTTTAGAGATTGAAATCAAACCTTATTTTTCTACCCAACTAATTTTTCTACCCAATTTAATTTTTTTTGGTTTTTTTTTGGTGTCTCCACCTTCACTTGGAGCCCGGCTCTGGCTTAGGAGAGATGTAAATGAATTTTATCTCTGTTCTTTGACTGGGGCCACTGGGAACTGCAGCAGGAGGGTCAGATGGTGCCTTTTCCTCGCCGTGTTTGCTCTCTGGCATCCAGCTGCCAGCTCCAGCCAGCCCGGGAGGCTGTGAGTCCCTGTGGCCCCAGCTGGGCTGTTTGTTCTCTGCTGGGCACCGAGCCGGCCAGAAAAGCAGCGTTTTCCTCCCTGTTTTGAATTTCTCCACTCTGCCAGACTTTTTTTGTCTTGCCTGGGAAGCAGCAGAGCCACGAGGAGGGGGACAAGGAGGTGAGTCTCTCTTTTCTGTTCGCTCAGGCTGGCTCTGCTCGCCTCCAAGTGCTGGTTAATATTTTTTGCAGCAGGGGCCAAGGGGACGGAAGAGGAGGAGGAGGAGGAGGAGGAGAGCATCAGAGGAAGGCAGGGGGCCCAGCACATCCTGGAGGGAGAGCCAGCCCGGAGAAAGCTTTGCTGGTGAGTGGTGGGAATGTGCTGTGGGCTGTCACGGTGGGACTCTGAAGCTCGGGGGGACACTGGGGGGACGTGGCAGCAAGCAGGGGGTCTCAGAGGGCTGATCCCCAGGGCACACCCTGGTCATGGCCTGTGCCTTGTTTTGGGGGGTCTGTGCTGGCCCCACTACACCCCTCATGTGCACCCTAAATCTTGCTCCAGGAGTAGATCCCGAGCTGTGTTCTCAGCCAGGACCTGCACAGGGGTTCAGTGTCCACAGGCAGGACCTATCCCTGTTTCTCCCCCAGCAGCCATTGCCCCACCCTCTGATCCAGAGCAAACCTGGCGCCTTCTCTGTGGCCAAACAGCTCCTGAATTCCAGTGGGAAGAAAAAACAAAACAAAAAAAGTGGTTTTTGAGGCATGAGCAGCACAAGGTGCCATGGGAATTCCCAAGCCCCCTTTTTAAAGGCGGGTGTTTGCACAACGGGGGTCCCATTTCCCTGCTGGAAAGGGATCCTAGGATATGCCCCAGGGTTTGCTCAACCTCTGAACAGCACCCAGAGACCCCTAACTCCTGGTTAAAAACACATGTTTTGGGCAGTCGGGGGGAGTGTGGGTGTATGAGACAAGACTGAAAGCACTGTTGGGTCAGAGCTGAGTGTTTTCATCCCATTTCTATGCTTGTGACTCTTCTACACAGCAAAGCTGGATGACAAAACACCAACAGCTGGGTGCAGCTCACTGAGGTGTTTGACTTGTTAGGGACCACTGTTAGTGTGTGATGTTTCACAATATCCCTTCAGATGGACATCTCAAAAAGATAGAGGCACAATTCCCAGCTTCCACGCTCTCATTTGGTGATAACAGATTTTAGCCTCTGTCTCGGTGAGGGGAGCAGAGGGGCAGCCAGGGACCCAGCGAGGTGTTTTGGGATGTGCAGGTGGCGATGTCCTACCTGAGCCGTGCCTGGCGGGTCCCCCGCCGCCTGCCAGCCCCCCGGAGAAGCCCCCAGCCCTTCAGCAGCACCTCGGGCCCCACGGCCAAGAAGAACGTCCCGCACCAGAAGACGCTGCAGGAGGAGGGTCCCGGGAGCCGCCAGCCCAGCCGGGCCCCGCCGGCCTCGGCGCAGGTGGTGGTGGTGGGTGGCGGCAGCCTGGGCTGCCAGACCACCTACCACCTGGCCAAAATGGGGCTGAGCGACGTGCTGCTGCTCGAGAGGGACCGCCTGACCTCGGGCACCACCTGGCACACGGCGGGTGAGTGGTGGGCACAGCCTGGCTGCTGCCCGAGGCGGGCGCAGGGGATGCTCATGGGATGCTCACGGGTTGGGATGTGCTGTGTCCGCACGTGCTGGGGAGTTCTGGCTGGAAATGCTGAGAATTTCTGCTTTTCCTTCTGATATCTTTTTAAACGTGTCCCTAAATTTCCTTTTTTTGCCCTTTGCCAAGATGTATGTGGCGGCAAGAAAAGAAAATTTATTTGCACAGTTTCCACCCTCTTTTTAAAGACATTTTAGTATGGCAGGGCGGCAGAATATATAAGCTGGAGAGAGGGTGAGGCTGAAGGTTTTGTGGCTGCGTGAGAATTTGGGGGGCTTCCAGGGGATGGAGCCCCGAGGAGACAATGCAGAGCCCCTGCCACAGCACTCGGGTGGTTCCCCAGGTCAGGATTTTGGGAATGGCCCCGGCAGCCATGGGCAGCACTGTGCCGTGGTCGGGGTGAGGGGCAGGGTGGGGACGCCTGGCCCGGGATGAGGAGAGGGCTGTGAGCATTTTGACCCTCAGGTGTACCTGGAAGTGGACCTTCAGGTCAGGCAGGAGGGGGAAATGTGTTTTTTTTTCCCACACTTTTATGGCTCATCCACTCCATAACCCCTTTCCCCCCACTTATTTAACGCCCAAAGAGAACAAATCCCGACGGTTTTGTAGCATTCCTGCAAATCCACGAGATGGAGCACGAGCCCCGCAGGGTGACACACGCACGGGGGGGACACACGGGGGGCCACGGGGAGGTGACAGAGCATCTGTGCCCACGCAGGTCTGCTGTGGCAGCTGCGTCCCAGCGACGTGGAAGTGGAGCTGCTGGCGCACACGAGGGACGTGGTCAGCCGGGATCTGCCGGCCGAGACGGGGCTGCACACGGGCTGGGTGGAGAACGGGGGGCTCTTCATCGCCTCCAGCAAGCAGCGCCTGGATGAGTACAAAAGGCTCATGTCGGTAGGGATGCACCCCCGGCAGGGTGGGCTGCAGGAGTGGGGGGGTTTTGTGGAGCCCCCAGCTCTCTGAATGCCCCATCCCTCACTGCCTTCCCACTCCTGATTTGCTTAGGGCGGCCAAGGCCCGTTCAGGTTCTTCCAAGTTTGGCAAATTTAGGCTCGGCTTGGGTTTTTTGCCGTTTTAATTGGTGTTGGGTTGTTTCCCACCCCATTGTGCAGCATCGTTTTTCCAGCTTGAATTCAAAACCAGAGTCATAGTCCCTGAAATCTGAGCATCACCCCATGCTGGATTTAGGGTTTGGGAGATAAATGTTTTGGGGTTCTCCTCCTCCTCCTCCTTCAGCAGCAAGTGGAACAAAGCTTTTGTTCCTTACCCGAGTTTTCCTGTCCCCTGGCAGCTGGGGAAGGTGTACGGTGTGGAGTCCCACGTGCTGAGCCCGTCCCAGACCAAGGAGCTGTACCCTCTGATGAACATTGATGACCTGTATGGCACCCTGTACGTCCCCAAGGATGGCACCATGGACCCCGCTGGCACCTGCTCAACTCTGGCCAGAGCAGCGACTGCCAGGGGCGCTACGGTAGCTCTTAATTAGGAATTTACTCATTAGTGCCTCTTGGTTTCATCCTCTGCCTTCCTCACCTTCTGCTTTCCCACCAGGGCAGAGCTGCTCCTGCAGATTTGGGTTGTTCCCAGGAAGGGTGCTGTCCTCTTGGTTGGGTGACAGTGACAAAGCTGGCAGGAGCCATGAGATCCAGGGAAAATAGAGGGTGGAAAAAAGACCTTTAGGAGCAACACAAGGCACTCAGAACGCTGCTTAGGTTCACTTTTCCCAGATTTGGGGGCTGCGTGTCAGGTGAGGCAGGCTGTCCCCCTGCCCTGGTGACCCTGCTGTGACTCTGCCCCTCTTCCTGTGCCACCAGATCATCGAGAACTGCCCGGTCACGGGCATCCAGGTGAGAACTGATGATTTTGGGGTGAAGAGGGTGCACGCAGTGGAGACAGCCCACGGGACCATCCAGACTCCCTGCGTGGTGAACTGTGCAGGTATGGGGAGCAGGACACGGGGTCAGGGTGGCACGGGGGCAGCAGCCACAACCCACGGGTGGCTTTGCTCCTGTGAGGAGGAAAGTCTGCATCAGCCCGTGTCCCCTGCAGCTGCCTGGGGCTGTGGGGGATGGAGAGGAGCTCAGCACGGGCTTGTTGTCCCTGCAGGAGTGTGGGCACGGGCCCTGGGCCGGCTGGCGGGCGTGCAGGTGCCGCTGGTGGCCATGCACCACGCCTACGTGGTGACCGAGCGCATCGAGGGCATCCAGGTCAGTCCTGAGCAGCTGCAGCTCGGTTCTCTGCTCTGGGGGACAGGGCTGGAGAGGCAGAAAGACCCCTGCCCCTTCCAGGCACCCCCAGACCTGCGGAGCCTCCTCATTCCTGCCAGGTCAGGCTTTGCTCTTAGGGGAGTGTACACCCTCAGCAGGGCTGTCAGACCACCTTGAGCAGAGTCATATTTAATATTTAACGAAGTTACAACTGGCAGGATATTTTTTTTTCCTCAAGGTCTCTGTGTTTGGTGTGTGATAGCAGCATCCATAAAGATCCCAGACCTTTCTGAGCTAGCCCCATACCTGGCAAGCATTCCCTGACTGCTCCTATAAATCTGTTCCTGCCATCTGGAATTGCTTGGGAGTTGAAGGAGCCTTCATCCTCTCAGGCCCCAGTGCACTGAGGGTGACACATTAATTAGTTTCCATCCTGCTGACACAGTCTGTGCCTGACCTTTCAGCACGAGGTGCCTCGTTGTACAAAGTGCCATGGTCCAGGGTTGCATTTCTGTCCCAGCACTCCAGAGGAGAGGCTGCAGCTCGCAGACCTCGTGCCTCCTGTTTAATCCACTCCATTCCACTTGTCAACACGGGTTGCAGCAGGCCCTACACCGATTCTTCAGTGTTATCTCAATGTTTCCCCATCCATTATTCAGGAGAACAAACCCCTCATTCTTCGTGCACCGCTGCATCCTCCTGCAGAGGCGGCTGGCAGAGGAGGGATGACTCCTGAGCTAGGATCAACCACAGGGGCTGCTCCCCGTCCCCAGGGCACCCCTGGGTGCTGCTCAGCTGTCTGGGCAAGCTGCTCTGCCCATGGTTTGGCCAGGTCAGCCGGAGCTGAGCTGGGTGCTTTCCCCTTGGGGTGCCCAAATTTCAGAGCTGAGGGACCACGCACGGAGCCACTTTGTGTCCCACCCTTGACATGTCGCTGCTGCGGGTGCCCACCTTGTGCTCTGGACCTTTCTGGGTGCTGTAGGGGTGTCCCCATGGCCTCCTCTGACCCTGGACTCCCCCTCCCCGTGTTTCAGAACATGCCAAACGTTCGTGATCACGACGCCTCGGTCTATCTCCGTCTCCAAGGCGATGCCCTTTCCGTGGGTGGATATGAGTCAAACCCCATCTTCTGGGAGGAGGTGAGTGCAGCCAGGAGGTTTTCTGGGGGAAACAAGGCAGGTTTCCAGGGAAGCCACCTCGGAGGAGTGCACAGCCCCCTCATTCTGCAGGCACCAACCTCTGGTGGCTGGTGGGGAAAGCAGGGGGAGCATCTTCCCTTTGGGGCTGTCTGTGGCACTGATATGCAGTGCAGAGGCAAAAGGAGAGCCAGGAGCCCCTGTGCCCATCCCTCTATCCTGAATTCAGACTTCAGGTTTGTCTGGGTTGTTCAAGAAAACCCCAAAATCCCAGAGATTCAATGCAACCTCTGTTTTTCTTCTCCGAGGCTGCCAGAGATGAGGTGGTCTCACACAATCAGCCATGCTCTGTTCCGTGTCCTGATTCTTGTTTGTCCTCTTTAGGTATCTGAAAAATTTGCTTTTGGCCTCTTTGACCTGGACTGGGATGTTTTCATGCAACACATTGAAGGTGCTGTCAACAGAGTGCCAGTTCTGGAGAAAACAGGAATTAAATCCACTGTCTGTGGGCCAGGTAATGTGGCTGTGGGGACCACTGTGGTGGCACCGTGGTGGTTGGATTTCTCTGAAGAGGAAAAGGGAAACTTTATAACCTGGGGAGAAGAAAAACTCTCTGAATGCAGAGAAAGTGCTGCTGGTCTGGCTGCAGTGGTGGCATCTTCCAAGGGGTGGCATTCCAGGCCTATCCTGGGTGGAGGAATAGAATCACACATTCAGAGACTCACAGAACGGTTTGCCTTGGAAGGGATCTTCAAATATTATCTAATTCCAGCTCCACTGCCATGGGCAGGGACACCTTTCACCATCCCAGGTTGCTTCAAGCCTTGTCCAACCTTGCCTTGAACACCTCCAGGGATGGGGCAGCCACAGCTTCCCTGGGCAGCCTGTGCCAGAGCCTCCCCACCCTTGTTGCAAATAACTTCTATCTTATAATTTCTTATAATCTTATCGATTTCTTATCATCTCATATTGTCCCTCTTTCAGTTTAAAGCCATTTCCCTGGGGAGCTGACTGCCTTGGTTTGGTCTGGTAGTGAGTGGATCTCCAGCTAATGTTGTGGCCACTGGAGTGGAAAATTAAGGGGCAGATGTTTTTAAGCAGTGGCTGTTATTTTACCAAATGTTATCCTCTATAATTAATTTTACTACTCTCTCCTGGTCTAGTGACGTTAGATTTACCCACATTTACATCCCTGGTGTGGAGTTAAAGCCATCCCTGAAGTGGCAGCTGCAGGAGGCATCAGACATTGAGCCCAAGCTTTGCACTCTTGGTTTGGCCTTAAAATCCACTATACACTAAGAAATCAATTTATAATTAAAAAACCCCAGCAATAATAAAAGCCCTTTTTGCTGAGGCACTTAGAGGGAAACTCTTTGGGTTGTGTGAGGGGAAAGTAGGGCAGGTCTCGTGCCCTGCAGCAGATCAAACATGACTTGTACGAGGTGGAGACCTTGGCCCTGGGTCCAGTGGTTTGATTGCACTGCGGCGTGAGCAGAGCAGAACTGGCTGCTGGCAGATGAATGCCTCCTCTTTCTCGTACAAAAAATGTCATTTTCCAAGGCTCAGCTCTCCTCGTTTTCTCCTTCTTGATTGAAAGCAGCAGCCTGTGTCTGGGCTGGGCTGGAACCAGTGGCAAAGGCTTTGTCCCCTCTGCTGTGGTCACTGTGCCAAGGTCCCCGGAGCCCTCACCCCCCATCCCAGGGCAAAGTGCTGCCATGGGAGCTGCTGTGGCTGTTGCTCCATTAACTCCCTGAGTTTGTAGCCTGGAATAGCTGTCCAGGGATACTGGCACGTGAGGAGCTGCTCTGGTGACAGTGGAAGTATTCTGGCTGTGCTCCTGTCTTCTCTGGAGCAGTAGGATCAGGGGAAACAAACTGGGCATTGCTAAGTGGAAAAAGACCCCACTGAACTCAGTTTTCCCTCTCTCCTTTGACATGGATGGATGGATGGAGCACCGTGAGACAGGGAGGAGGATTGCACACCTCTGTCGGGGGCTTTGCTGTCCTCCCTGGTGAGGATTTGTAGAGGGATTTCCATGGCTGATGGCTCAGTGGAATAGCACTGGCAGCAGGAGACATTATGAGCACAGGAGAGACATGCCCAGCTCTCCCTCAGCTGAACCAAGTGGCTCAAAGTCAGGGAATTTCCCAGCAGGAGTTGACAAAGGTGGAATACAGCAGGAGGAAATAGGGCCCAGATGTTAAAATGGCAACAAACAGATCAGTGCAGCCCCCTTGATGGGGGATTGGGGAGGAAAAAGGAGCCCCCACAGTGCCTCATTCACCTTCTTTTGGGCAATTCATTTTGCTTCCCAGATTTTCAGTCTAACTCCAAAAACCTGTGCTGGGCAGTGCTTGGTGTTGGTGCCATTCTGCCTCTCTGGGAGTGGGACGAGGTCAGCACGGGAGGCTGCAGGAAACCTGTTTGAGAAGTGTGTGATGTATCCCCAGAGTGTGTGATCCCCCTGTCCTGGCCTCGCTGGCACGTCCCCTCTCTGTTTTGCAGAGTCGTTCACAGCTGACCACAAACCACTGATGGGAGAAGCTCCCGAAGTCCGAGGCTTCTTCCTCGGCTGTGGCTTCAACAGTGCTGGTAAGAGAGACCCGAGAGGCTCATCCCCTGCTGCCATGGGATCCCAGGGGGATCCTGGCATTCCACAGCCCTGCTCGGCCTCCTGGCCCCGTCTGCATCCTGCCCTGTTCCCCAGGGATGATGCTGGGAGGTGGCTGTGGCAGGGAATTGGCTCACTGGATCATCCACGGCCGGCCCGAGAAGGACATGTATGGCTACGACATCAGGCAAGCCACCCCCACTGCCCCAGCTGCCTCCTCACGGGCATCCCTCATCCCTGCTGCTCCTTGGGGATGCTTCCAGGGCGGGGCTGGCATCAGGAGTGGGTGTCCAGGCAGCGTGTGTGTCCCTCCGAGGAGCTGGGATCAATTACAAGCAGTGGCTTTAATGAATGCACAACGTGGGGTTTCTCTCATTCGCCTCGTTCCACTCCCACACAAACAGCTTCCATCAGGCACAAGGAGGTGGTGGTGGTGGGGAAGGACGGGGTAATTATGTTTGGGTTTTGTTGTTCAATTAGTACCGTGCCTAATCCTCTAAGTTAATAATCAGGGGGATGATTTCAACAGCACAAAGATTAGCTCGGCCCCCCCTCTGCAGCACCACCCGGGCTGGGAGTTGTGGCCGTGCAGATGTTGGCTCGGTAATTGCTTTTGACTTGCTTGATTGTCTTTGATTGGGTTTGGGCTTTCTTACAGGGCTGCAGTGACAGCAACCACCTTGTCAGGGACAAAGCTTTGAAAATCTCACGTTGCTTTGTTGGCCAAGCTGGTAAATGCCACATTGGCTTGGGCTGTGGGAGTTGAGGGGCCTGCAGAGATGGGGGAGATGCCTCCAGCTGCCCCCTTCCACCAGCTGGGCTCGGGATGGGGATGGAGAGATGGAGAAATCCCAGGCTGGGCACTGGGTTGGCACCATCACAGCCCCCCTGACCCCCAGGGACCACAGCCCTGCTCAGAACAGCCAGGGGCTTTCCACACAAACATCTCCCATGTCCCATGTGCCCTGCCATCAGGCTCCCAGTCCCATTCCTTCCTTTTGGTGACAATTACCCATCTCCTCTTTAAATAACTCATTTTTCCACGCATTTCAATATTTATCCTCTCAGAACATTTGCTTGTAAATATTTCATCTGGCAGCTGTTGCCCGCTTGCTGCTGTCAAAAATTCAGCTCCTGGTGAAGGGGCTGAGGCGGATGGGGTGAGCAGAGGTGCTGGTGACATGCCATGTGTCACCTTCTGCCAGCAGAAGAGGCAGCTGCTCTCACAGCTCTTGGGGAGCATCACTTGTATTCCTTGCAGGGCTCAGCCCCATGCCCTGACTCTCCTCTGCACCCAGTCAGCCAGGAGGGAAGCTGAAAGTATCATTTTAAACGCCCCTAGAAATAAGATTTTTGTCTTTCATCCCTGCCTGGCTCCCTTTCTGCAGCCCTGGGAAAGGTGCCACTTGTGCCCAAGGCTGCTCCCCGTGAGTTGCTGGTCTCTGGGATTAACCTGGCCGTGGGCTGAGCTGGCACATTCCTTCAAGGAGATTTTCTGTTTGGAAAGTGAAAATACTTCAAATTAATTTAAGATATTTTGGGTTTTATTTATATTTCAGCCTGGGGAGAATTGAGTGGGAAATATAAGGAATGTCCAGGGCTCATTCCCTCTTCAGGGCTGTGTTTAAACCCCGGTGTGCCCTGAGGTGGGTCCCATGTTGAAGTGGGGCAGGATAAACCTCAAGTTTCATTTTTTTTTCCTATTTCCCCTCCTCAGCAGGGCTGTCTTCTGCTCTGGGGTGGGGCTGGGAGCTCCGTGGGGGCTGCAGCTCCTATGCCCAGCACCGTGGCACGGCGAGCACTGAGCTCCTCTTGACTCCTCTGCTCCTACCCCCAAAACCGGAGCAGGAATAGCAATTTCCCACCAGCAGCAGCATCCACACCTGGCTCTGGCCAAGAAGGCCGTGAGCTGGTGGGCTCACCCAGCTGTTGCCATCTCCTTGCCTTCCAGGAGGTTTCACCACTCCCTGACCGACGACAACTGCTGGATCCGGGAGCGCAGCCATGAGTCCTACGCCAAGAATTATTCCGTCGTCTTCCCCCACGACGAGCCCCTGGCAGGGCGCAACGTGAGGAAGGACCCCCTGCACGAGGTGAGGATACGGCCTGGGCTGGCCCAGAGCAGCAAGAAGGAGCTCACGAGGGGTGGATGCAGCTGGGTGGTTCCCCAAAGCCTCTGTGCTGCTGTGCTGGAGAGATCCCTGCCCGATCCCAAAGCTCGCTGCGTGGATTTCTGGGGCCGTGGGTGGTTTAGTGGTAGAGAGCCTGAGCATTCCTGTATTTAACTCAGCAGATGTGGATTGAGAACCTGGTGGTGATCACTGGGCAAGGGGAAAGGGGAGAGGAGAGCTCCAACGCTGAGTCCATCCCGGGGGCAGCTGAATGCTCACAGGAATCTCCTTCCCCTGCTCACAATTTAGCAGCAGTTTCTCCCCAAAACAACATCTCTCAATGTGGAGGGGTGTGGGAAGAGGGATGTGCCTCTGTGGAGGTGGTTTTGCCAGCACTCCCTAAGTGATTTTGTTCCCTGGAGCCACCAGCCAGGGTTCCCTCCTGCCCCAGCCCCTTCCTCACACAAATATCCATAGGTGAACACTCTCAAGATGCAGCACTTGAGAGAAAAACCCAATTCCCAGCATTTTGCTGTGCCAGCAGCTCAGAACCCCCCAGATCCTTCGAGACACTCAGCTTGACTCAGCAGCAGAGCCTCATCCCACTGCCAGCCCCAGCCCCAGGCCTGGCAAAGCCACATTTCCCAAGCCCATTCCTGCTTCCCTCTGATTGACATCACACCATTCCTCTTCCAGCTGGAGGGCAGAGGCTCAAGCAGTAAAACAGACACCCCTGCCCACCAGCCCCCGGTGTTTGGTTGGCAGCTCAGTTGTTTTCTGTCACTGAGGATGCAATTTATTTTTTAATAGCACGTCTAATAAGCGATGCCCACTTGACTGACAGGCTGGTATTTATCCATGCAGCTCCAGAACATGTGCTGTGTTTTATAAATAGGCACTGAATGATTTCTGAGATGTTCAACAAAATCTATTCTTTCCCGAACTGAGGCTCCAAACAAAAATGTCTTAATGGATTCCTAATTAATTGCGTGCAGAGAGGTTTTCCTGAGAGCACAGAGGAGGAGTGAGAAGGTTGCTGTATAAATATTCGAAGTTGTTATATAATTACTCTGTAAACACGGTGGGGAATCTTGCTGTCTGCATGTAGCACCTCTTGGTCAGTAATTTGGGTACCCTAGGGCAGGTTTTGGTGGGGTGCACAGCTGGGGTTGTGGCTCTCTGCCCCTTGACCACCCTTGAGGGAAATATCTTTTCTGAGAGGAACAAAAATCAGGCGATTCTTAGGTTTGACACTGTGCCACAAGACAAACTGCAGGGCTGATTTTGGCTCTTGATAGCCATGCCAAGGGGTCACAAGTCTGGTCTTGAGCCCACATGTGCACCCGAGGAGGGCAGCCTGGGTGCTGCTCAGAAAGCTGTGAAAGGGCTTTTTGAAAGAAAGCTGTTCCCATTTCTTCTGTGTAGGAGCTGCTGCGACAGGGCTGTGTCTTCCAGGAGAGGCACGGCTGGGAGAGACCCGGCTGGTTCAGCCCTGGGGGAGCAGCCCCGGTAAGAACACCTGGAGTTTTGGGGGGTCTTCGGCCTGGAGAGACCAGCTGTGGTAGGACCCATCACCATGAGCAGGGATGGGTGGGGATCCATCACCGAGGGCAGGGATTTTGGGGTGGGGATCCATCACCACAACAGGGATGATGATGGGGGAGATCCATCACCATGGTCAGGGATTTTGGGATGGGGATCTATCACTGAGGGCAGGGATTTTGGGGTGGGGATCCATCACTGAAGGCAGGGATTTTGGGATGGGGATCCATTACTCAAGTAGGGATGTTGGGGTCTGGATCCATCACTGAGGGCAGGGATTTTGGGATGGGGATCCATCACCATGGTCGGGGATGTTGGGATGGGGATCCATCACCATGGTCAGGGATGTTGGGATGGGGATCCATCATTGAGGGCAGGGATGTTGGGATGTGGATCCATCACTGTGACAAGGGATGCTCTGGTAGAACCCACCTCATGGGCTGGGATGTTGGAGGGAGGATCCATCCCCATGGACAGGGATTTTGGGGTGAGAACCCATCCCTGTGGCCATCAGGGATGCCAGGGTGGGGACCCACCACCAAAGCCATCTCTCCAGGAGTGGGGTGAATACGAGAAGGAGCCTTTTGGCTTCGGCCTCACATCCTCTTCCTCCCTGCCCCACCCCTGCCCCAGGTCCTGGACTATGATTACTACGGTGCCTACGGCCACCAGCGCCACAGGGACTACACCTACAACCTCCTGCTGGGGGACGAGTACACCTTTGACTTCCCCCCTCACCACCACATCGTGAGTGGGGCTGACAGCCCCTCCTGCCCTGCCAAAACTCCCGGGGGGCTGGGGCACGTGGAGGCAGCAGATCCTGTGCCCCAGCGCTGCTCTGGGTGATGCTCGGAGGGAGGGGATGCCCCGAAACGGCGAAAAACGTCCCAAAAATATGAGGAGAAATGTGGAGCCCGTGCTCAGAAACCTCAGGGGAGAATTATACTGCTGCTTTCCTGAAGTGTTGAGAGCAGCTTGGGGGAAAAAAATCCAATTTGATAAAATTTGGGCGTTATTGATGATAACTGTCACTGAGTTAGTGAGGTGAGGAATGGGATCAAGCACTCAGGATGGCTCCAGCAAATACCTGATCCTTTCAGGAAGATTTTGAAGCCCTAAAAGGCACCAGGCGAGTGTCCTGGTGTCATTTCCCATTGCATAAGTGGTTTAATTTGTGTTTCCCTTTGTGGGCTGAGAGCAAGGCTCAGCCTCAGCGCCGCCGTGTTTGCTTTAATTGCAGATCAAGAAGGAATGTTTAACGTGCAGGAATGCCCTGGCTCTCTTTGACATGTCTTATTTTGGGAAATTCTACCTGGTTGGCCCTGAAGCTACGAAAGCAGCCGACTGGCTGTTCAGTGCTGATGTGAGCAAAGCTCCAGGTACAGCCTCAGCTCCTTGTTTTGCTGGGGAAATCTCAGCCCAAAACAACCCATAGGAACCCAGATGGGCTTTTCCTCTCGGTGCTGCCTTTGCAGAGGGTTTGGGAAAAGGCTGCTCTCCCTGTCCTCACCACAGACTGGGTTCTGCCTCGTTCACACAGTGCTCCGAGGTCAGGATAGAGGAGGGAGGTTTCCCTCTGGCTCCAGCTGTGGCTCACATCTGGAGGTGCGATGGGTGCTGGAGTAAATCAAGCACAACCCTCACCAGCTGTGGTTTGCTGTCCCCTTTTCTGAGGCTGGGAAGCAGCTTTGGGCATTTCCAAGGATGCAACTTCAGCTCCTCACTGGGATGAGCTGGGGAAGAAAAGGGGAAGGGAAAAGGGAAAAAAGGAAAGGGAAAAAGGCATCATTCCTTTCCCCCTGCTGGTGCCGGGACACCCAGGGTCACTCAGGGCAAAGCCAGGATGGGTGATTTAATGATGAAGGCACCTTTTGGTGCTGCCCCAGCTGGCTGATGGGTGCCCGTGTGCCCCGCAGGCTCCACCGTGTACACCTGCATGCTGAACCAGCAGGGCGGCGTGGAGAGCGACCTGACGGTCAGCAGGATCAGCCCTGGCACCCCGGGCTCCCCCCTGGCCCCCGCTTTTGAAGGTAAAACCCGGGGATGCTGGAGGGGGCAGCTCTGATTGTGTTCACCCCCTCCCCATAGTTGAATTCCCAGGTTTTCCCGTTGCCTTTTCAGCCGTGTCAATGCACACAGAGACTTTTCCAGTCCTGGGCAGGTTTGTTGCAGCACCTCCTCCCTCCCTGCCACGCTGGAGGGGCTGCAGGCACAGGGCTGATTGCATTTTCCTAATGGCAGCAGCCTGGCTTTTTCCACCTCTATCCTTCGGTGCCTGTAAAACCCAATTATGGCCCTGTCCCCGGGCTCATCTCTCTTATTGGGTTTGTCCTGGCGGCTCTGACCTCTGTCCCAGCCCTTATCAGCTGCAATTAAGGGGGACTGAGAGGCGGCAGAGCAGCCCTGGGGGCAGGAATGGCATTAGGCAGCTGCGGGGAGGATGCTGAGCTGGGCTCTGGCCAGGCACAGCGTGTGCCCTGGGTGGCCACAGAGCCCTGTCCCCAGGCTGGGTCACCTTCAGGTGTGCCACAGGGCAGTGTCACCCCCCTGTGTCACCTTCAGGTGTGCCACAGGGCAGTGTCACCCTGCTGTGTCACCTTCAGGTGTGCCACAGGGCAGTGTCACCCCCCTGTGCCACCTTCAGGTGTGCCACGGGGCATTGTCACCCCCCTGTGTCACCTTCAGGTGTGCCACGGGACAATTTCACCATTCTGTGCCACGGGGCAGTCTCACCATGTTTATCCCAGCAGCATGAGGTGTCTGTGATTTTTCCCCCCATGTGGGAAAATCCTTTTTCCCTCCTGTCTGGGACACTGGCACGGGGAGCAGGGTGGGAAGTGGCTGGCAGAGCTGCAGGCTTTGTCGGGCACTGGAGGTGTTTAATCACAGCAAAGTCTATTTTTCCAATTACAGTAGGTGGCTGCACTTATTATCATTATGACAGAATACCAGAGAGCAATTTCGTAGTGGCAGGAGAGACAGAGGCAAGATTGATTACATATTAATCAGCTCTCAAACACCATCCCTGGGGATTTTTCCACCCAGGATTACTGAGGAGATGAAATTCTTCCTTGCATATGCTGCAATTCCGTGTAGGAATTGGACTGTAGTGGTTATGGGCTGGTCACTGCAGCATTCCCTGCTCCACCTGTAGCTCCCAGCTCCCTCCACACTTGAGGGTTGTTCTGTGCTGGGACAAAAGTGCAGTTGTTTTTGCTGTTGTTCTCAAGGAGTTTTTATCCTGTGATGCTCACACACACTTCACTGTTAATGTCTTTTGGTTTTCACTGTGCTGTGCCCCACAAAAAGCAGAGCCTCAAAGCCTTCCCTGATCCCACAACTCCTTAACCCCCTTTTTATTGGCAGTGCCCAGGTAGGGCTGTGAGAGGCTCAGGGCTGCACTTCAGGGTCTTTCAGAGCAGAACCAGCCCAGCCCAGCCCTCTGAGCCCTGAAAGGCTGCCCGGGGCTGTGTTCCAGGGGATGGCTACTACCTGGCTATCGGCGGGGCTGTGGCTCAGCACAACTGGTCCCACATCACCACCGTGCTGCAGGACAGGAAATTCCAGTGCAAACTCCTCGACTGCTCCGAGGAGCTGGGCATGATGAGCATCCAGGGCCCTCTGAGGTCAGCAGTGTGCAGCCCTCCCTGCAACCTGGCTGTGGAGGGATGCAGGGAGGGATGCAGGGATGGAGGGAGGGATGCAGGAGTGGAGGGAGGAGGGAGGGAGGGGTGGAGAGATGTAGGTATGAAAGGAGGGATGCAGGGATGGAAGGAGGGATGCAGGGATGCAGGGGTAGAACGAGAGATGTAAGGATGGAAGGAGGGATGCAGGGATGGATGGAGGGATTAAGGGATGCATGAATGGAGGGATTAAAGGATGCAGGGATGGAGGGAGAGGTGCAGGGATGGAGGGAGGGATGCAGGGATGCAGAGAAGGATAGAAGGAGGGATGCAGGGATGGAGACATTCAGGAATGGAGGGAGGGATGCAGGGATGGGAGAAGAGATGGAGGGAGGGATGCAGGGATTGAAGGATGTATGCAGGGATGGAGGGAGGTCTGCCTCAGGTGCAGGTCCCTGTGCTGGGCAAGGGTAGGTGTGAGAGCCCCACGACACAGAGTGCTGATGTGGCTGGGGTCTCACTCCACTTCCCACGGAAATTTTGAGGCTCTCACAGCATTGCACATCAGCCACCTGAGCTCCCCTTTGGACAGAGGAGTCTGTCTTGCCAGCAAGATGAGGGAGCAAGTTTTGGGGACAGCCCTGAGGGCAGGCTGGCAGCTGAGTGCCCTCACTGTGCCCACTTTGCTGTTTCCCCACAGCCGTGCTGTCCTCCAGGAAGTGCTGGACACCGACCTCAGCAACGAGGCCTTCCCCTTCTCCACACACAAAATCACCATGGCTGCAGGATGCCAGGTAGGGTGGGGCCACTCTTGGAGCTGCCCAGGGAGCTCTGGGCTTTGTGCACCCACCAGCCAAGCACAGAATCCCAGACTGGTTTGGCTTGGAAGGGACCTGAAAGCTCATTTTGTTCATGCTCTGCCATGGGCAGAGACACCTTCCACTGTCCCAGGCTGCTCCAAGCCTCGTCCAGCCTGGCCTGGAACACTTCCAGGGATCCAGGGGCAGCCCCAGCTGCTCTGGGCACCCTGTTCCCTCTCCCTCTGTTAGGAATGTGTCTGCCTCTTTGCTGCAGAGAGGTTTTTGTAGGAAAAGGCCAAACACCAGAGTGAGAAAAGGCTGTTTTCCTCCCTGACTGCCTGGCAGGTGCCATCCTGCTCTCCCAGCCCTCCCAGTGGTGTCACACCACGGAGCCTGGGGCAGGGACAGGCTGACTCATGGCCTTGCAGTGATGCCAGAGGAACAAGAGACATCTCCATGGATTAGTGATGAGATCTACCTGACACTCCAGACACTTTCCATTTCCCCTTCCTCATAAAAAGCCAGGGACAATTTAATGCAAAGCTTGTCAGGGACTGGCAGCAGGCACTGGGCAGCCTGGGAGCTGCTGTTTGATCACAGGAGAAGCCTGACAGCCCTAAGCTGCCTGTACAGGCACAGATCATCCTGCTTCTGCCCAGCCTTCAGGGCTCACATGTGCCCTGAAGCTTTGACTGAGCTTTAACACCCCAAATAGAAGAGTTGGTGACCACGGAGTGTCATTTTTCTCAAAGGAGAGAACCTGCTGCTGGCAACTTTGGGTATCAGGGAAAAGCTTTAGCAAGGTTTCTTGGGGAAACTCTGGTTTCTCAGTGTTTACCTCGTGTGAAATATTCCTGTGGTTGCAAAAACCTTTTGAAGAGAGGGTGGAATTTGTACCTGCTCCTTTCCATGGGAAGGCTGGGAGGAGGGACCCAGGACTTGCCCAGGACTCGCTCTGGCTCTCGGGCTGGAGCCTGGTGGGGATGAAGGAGGTGAAGGTGAAGCAGTAAATCTCATAAAAGGCAGCAGGAGAGCCAGGAGCTGCAGCAGGCTGGATGTTAAGGAAATTTGGTTAAGCCACGTGCGGCCACTTTTCATTCAGAATTAAAATGGCTTTAATTCGACTGCAGCTGCCTGCTGAAGAGATTGCTGCTAAATCAAATTAGAGCCTCTTGATTTGTGAGCAGCAGCCTGGCCAGGCCTTAAGGAGGTTTAACCAAGGTACAGATTTTGCTCAAGTCAGATTAATCTCCAAACCACTGCCATCAATGCACCCTGGGCTTTGGGTGCCCAAGAGCAAGTTCAGAGTCCCTTGGAAGGCTTGGGGGATTTCAAAGCCAATCCACTGGTGCAGGTTGTCCAAAATGATGGATTTTAGTCTTCATTAATCCTCCCCACACCCTCCTTTGTCAGCCTGTAGCAGGCTGATAGCATCTTGTAATAATTTGCTTGTGCCCTAAGAAAGGTGTAGAAATGTTCCTGTCTCCACGGGTGTGATGAGTTTATTTGCATTGCACTTCAAGTTTGTTATAAATAATCTGGTCCTTCAAGGAAGATTGAGCTGGCAGGAGTTTTGTGGATTCTTTGGAGTGTAAATTCCCTGATGGACAGAGAAAAGCTCTCCTGCCTGAGGGGTGTGGGCCCTGCTGCCAGGGCCACCCTTCAGGAGGTCTCCTTTGTCCCACTGGACAATGAACACCAGGAGCTCCATCCCACGCTGGAATTAGAGTGGGAGGATATCTCAGGGCAGCAGGCTGAAGCCTTTGCTGATAGCACCACCTTCCAGGGGGATTAAATTGAACCCAGCATCTCAAAAAAGTTATCACTGAGATTTTCCTGCATTAACTCAGTAGTTGAACAAAATTAGCTGGAGTCAAAGAAGAGTTCCAGCAGAGTTAATGACTCTGGAAATTATGGATTGGTTTGTGAGTTTATATATAGAGTCTCTCATTGTATGGAACAGCAGAGAAAGGTCCCCCTTTGAATCTCACTGCTGGAGATGGGAAAATTCAGGTTTTCATTTTCTATGGTACCTAGAATGCTTTTGAATTGCTGCACAAAAACCCAGGAATGGATGTTATTTCACAGCTCCATCTGGAAAAGCTGTTCCTGTGGGAATCCAGCAGAGCTGCTGAGTCCAGCCTTTGGCATTCCCCTCCGTGGTGGGATGTGAATCCTGCCTGGGGCTCACACACATGGGGGCACCCCCCATCCCTCCCCGTGCTGAGCTGGTCGCTGGCACCCCAATTTTCCAGGGTTACCTGTTTTCTGTGGGGCACTGCTCTCGCTGGGCTGCTCATTTCCCTGGAGCACTGGTGCTTTGAGAGGAACTTTCTCCCAGGAGTAACTTGCTCTTGATTGTAAAGAGCACTTTAGCTGCAGTCGCAGACGGGGTTAATGAGCCGGGAAGTTGCCTGTCAATCCCCGGAGCATCTCCTGCCGCAATGAAGATGGAAGATGGCTTGCAGCAGCCTCTTCTCAGGCTGTTCCCTAATTAGATGACACCTTTGTGTAGAGGAAAAGGCTTCTCTGAGCCCCTTGTGCCCGTGCTCCTGGGGAAAGGAGTGCCAACCTTTGTGCCTGGCCAGGGGCCAGGGCAGGGCTCCTCAGGAGCCTCAAAATAAATTCCCCATCCTAAGTGTTCCTTCCTCCTCCCCACTCCTATTGCAGAGGTTAAGGCTTCTTACAAGCTGCTTTAAACTCTGCTCGAGGTGTGTTTTTGGTGCTGGGGGAAGCAGGAGTGGATTTGGGCTCTCAGCTGTGCCCTCTGGCCATGCTGGCAGCACAGAGCCCAGGCAGCCCTTGGGCATTTCTGCCTGCTTTGGGCAGCAGCTGCTGGTGTCTGCCTGCATTTGTCCCCGGGATTAGGGAGCACCGCTTGGAGCAAGAGCTCAGCAAATGGCAAAATGCAGCTTCTGCCCCAACACAGCCAGAGCCAGCCCGGACAGGCCAGCCCAAGGGCACCAGAACCTGCCTGGAAGTGTGTTCTGCGTGGGAACAGCTTTGTAAACAGGACAGATCACAGCCCAGAGCAGAACTCTGGAGTTAATCTCTCTCCCAAAGCCAGCTCTGTGTCTGCAGTGGATGTGTACCCAAAGGGATGAACCAGAGGGGTTTTGTGGGGGAGGAAGTGGAGGAACACAAGGGGATGAATCAGAGGGAAAGGCAGCTCAGACTCAAGGGCTGTCTCCAGGGAATTTGCCTGAGCTGGGCCGGTCCCAGCTGGCCTGGGAAGCTTTGGGGATGGAGGCTGTTGCAGAGGGACAGCAGGAGGGTGCCTGGGTGAGGAGCTGGTGGAACACAGGCAGGGCAGGCTGTTCCCTGGGACCGCAGCCAGGCTCCATCCCCGGGAATGAGGCTTCTCTGGAGAAGCAGTGAGTGCCCTGTGCTGATCTGCTCATTCCTCCATGGAGCTTCTTGCATTTGGTGTGGAGCTAATGTGACAGCAGAGCTTTGGGACACAACCTCCATGGGGAACCCTGAGCAGTTCCTGGTGGGAGTGGGACATGGGGCAGGACACCGTGCTCAGCCCTTGCCCAGGAGCCTTGGGGTCCAAGAAGGGAACATCCCTGGAGAAGGGACAGCAGTGATGAAGCACCCCAAGAGCAGGACAGTCCTGCTGGGGACCATCTTCCCTGTCTCAGTGGATCAGCAGAGGGAGACAAAAGCTTGGCTGGAGCTGGAGCATCACATCTCACCCCAGCCCTGGAGTGGAGCATAGCCAGAGGATGCTGCAGCAGCCACCTCTGCCCACTGGCACTGATGGTAGCTGGGTTTGAGGTGCCAGGCTGAGAAATCCACTCTGAGCCTGTTTGTGCAAGAAAGGAGAGCACAGAACTGCCTTCCATCACAAAGGCAAAGCTGGCTTTTCCCCTGGCATGGCAGCGTGTGGCCTCACCCAGCCTTGCACAGCCACGGGGATGGTTGCCCTCTTGCCTTTGCAGGTCCGGGCCATGAGGCTGTCGTTCGTGGGCGAGATGGGCTGGGAGCTGCACGTGCCCAGGGCTGACTGTGTGAAGGTTTATCGGGCAGTGATGCAGGCAGGAGCCCGGCACGGCATCGCCAACGCCGGCTATAGAGCCATCGACAGCCTCAGCATCGAGAAAGGTCCTCCTTCTCCTCCCAGCTGCACTCTCTGCTTTTCCTCTGAGGGGGGATGAGGGCAAGGAGCTTTTCCTCAGCTTCAGGGCGGGTCAGCGTGGCTGGAGGTGTCTCAGAAGGATGAGAACTCCCCTGGGTGGCTCCTCTCCGGGTGTTTTATCCGAGTGAGCGAAGGGCGGCGGGTGAGGGGGGCAGGGGGTGTTTGGTCCTGCGGCTGTGGCAGCTCAGTGGGTGAGCTGTGCTTGCTCCCTGCAGGGTACAGGCACTGGCACGCAGACCTGCGCCCCGACGACACCCCGCTGGAAGCGGGCTTGGCCTTCACCTGCAAGCTCAAGTCCAGCATCCCCTTCCTGGGCCGGGAGGCTGTGGAGGCTCAGAAGGCCAAGGGCGTCTTCCGCCGCCTCGTGTGCTTTACCACAGAGGAGTGAGTACCAGGGAGGAGTGAGTACCACAGAGGAGTGAGTACCATGGAGCAGTGAGTACCAGGGAGGAGTGAGTACCACAGAGGAGTGAGTACTGCAGGGCAGTGAGTACCACAGAGGAGTGAGTACCAGGGAGGAGTGAGTACTGCAGAGCAGTGAGTACCACAGAGGAGTGAGCACCACGGAGGAGTGGGTACCACAGGGCAGTGAGTACCACAGAGGAGTGAGTACCACACAGCAGTGAGTACCACAGAACAGTGAGTACCACAGAGGAGTGAGTACCACACAGCAGTGAGTACCACAGAACAGTGAGTACCACAGAGCAGTGAGTACCACACAGCAGTGAGTACCACAGAACAGTGAGTACCACAGAACAGTGAGTACCATGCAGCAGTGAGTACCACGGAGCAGTGAGTACCACGGAGCATTGAGTACCACAGAGCAGTGAGTACCATGCAGCAGTGAGTACCACAGAGCAGTGAGTACCATGCAGCAGTGAGTACCACAGAGCAGTGAGTATCACACAGCAGTGAGTATCACACAGCAGTGAGTACCACTGCTGGCTCTGCTCCCTGCTGCAGTCTCCAGCCCAGCAGCACCCCTGGAGCAGCAGCTCCACAGAGCCCACCTGTGGGTTTTCCTGGCTTATACAGAGATGTGTTTTAAAATATATTGTTCTGTTATCAGTTTTGATGAAGGGTGAGCCATAAGAGATGTAAAACTCAGTGCCATTTCATCAGAAGCTAGCCTATTTCTTGGTTACAATACTTTATAAATGTTTTTCAGCCTATTAGCTTTTGCTACACAGTGCTGTTATTACTGCTAACACCAATCACCTGTATTTTTACCCCATGTGGTCCTGCTATCATGCATCTTTCACAGTTCTAATTCTCTAAAATACCTGGTCTTTTTGCAAGGCTGTATTTTGAAACTTGTTGAACCTTGTTTCTAGTTCAGTGTCTCTCTCAGCAATGTCATCTTTACAATTCTTTACAAATCTGTTTCTCACAATTCTTTGCAAATCCATTTCTCACACCCACCCTTTGCACACACACACACAGAGGTGCCACACCTGGATGCGTGTGAGGCTGTGAGCCAGCTCAGCTGTTTCCCATGCTCTAATTCCATCTCTAATTTAAATCCCACCTCAAATGGGAGCTGCAGGCAGTGTGGGGCTTGATCTTGTTTCACCCGGAGGTTTTGCAAATGGAGCTGGAGGGACTTTGGGTTTGGCACAGAGAGGTGAATGAGCCCGTGGGCAGTGGGAGCCCGGGCACGTGGGCTGGCCTGGGGCAGAGCCAGAGCCCTCTGCCCCACTGATTTATTAAAAATCTGGATATTGATCTAGTACCGATATCCAACTGTGATGGACAAGAACTCTCTAACAGTTTAAAGTTAGATAGTGTGTGTTTATTGTGTGTGGGATCGCTCCCAAATACACACCGTGCCTTCCAGGTGATTACAGAGCCCTTTTATCCATTCAAGTATTGAATATCCAAAATACAAATCCATATTCATCATTTTGGTACATCCTATTCCCCGCTTCATATGCTAATCACTCCAAAAGCCATTCAGCATGCGTGGTTTGTCCCTTGAAATGGGTTGGTGTCCCTTTCATGGGGAGGGGTCCCAAAATGAGGAAGTCAATGAAGTCTTCCTCGTTCTGACCTTTCTACCTTTTCAATGCAAATATGACAAATGAACTCTTGGTAGAACTCCCATTCCTTGTCTTCAATTGGTTTCAGAACAGGAGGCCCACAATTGTCTTATGTTCCTAAAAGCTATTTGTCAGTTTGTGTATCCTTCATTATAAACCCAGCTAACTCAACATTGTGCTGACAAACAATCAATTATTAGTTAACTACAAAATCCTAACTTCATCAAGGCCTACTCATTTATTTTAATGAACTCTAGTAAGGCTTATCTCTAACTAAAATCTTAGCTCCTCTAAAATCTCTGAATTCCTATCAACTTGCGTTTCACCGCGGAGGGGCTGTGCTGTGGCAGCTGTGCCCTTGCCTTGCAGGAAGGTGCCCATGTTCGGCCTGGAGGCGGTCTGGAGGGACGGGGAGGTGGTCGGCCACATCCGCCGGGCAGATTTTGGATTTGCCATCGACAAAACCATCGCCTACGGCTACATCCGAGACCCTGCAGGGGGCCCGGTGAGTGCAGACCCCCGGCTGGCTCTGCCTCCTTCCCTGCAGTGGCACAAACCCTCTGCCCTGCCCTGGGCTGGCAGGTGGGACAGCAGCTCTCCCCTGCTGCCTTGTGCAGGCTGGAGGGTGAGGGATTGGTGACAAAGGCGGTGGCACTGGCACTGTGTGAGGAGCATGCACGGCTCAAGTGCTGCCTTGGGTGTTAATTGCAGCCAAATATTTAATTGCAGTAGCAAATTCACTTCTGTGGTCGGGAGCAGTGGCCAATAGGAGGAGGGTGAGATTTTAATTAACCCTAGATAATCAGTCAGGTGCCCTCATTACACAGTGTGCTGTGGGGACAGAGGTTGGGGTGACATCTCCAGGGACCTTTTCTGTGCCAGCCAAGAGCTGTGTGTGTGCTGTGATTCCTGCTCTTGCTTGCCTTGGCTTTTTATCCTGCAAGAGTCCCAGGGCAAGTGTCTCTGTGGGCCAGGTACCCCTGGGAACACCCTTTTTTCCCAGGGATGAATGTTCCTCCTTTTTCTCTCTTTTCCTTTTCCCCTCTCCCTTTTCCTTTTCCCCTCTCCCTTTTCCTTTTCCCTTCTCCCTTTTTTTCCTTTTCCCTGTCCCTTTTCCCTGTCCCTTTTCCCTGTCCCCTCTCCCTGTTCCCTCTCCCTCTCCCTCTCCTTCCTCTCCCTTTTCCGTCTCTGTTCTTTTCCCTTTTCCTTTCCCTTTCCATCATATACCTCCACAGATGAAAAAAAAAGAAACCTAAAATTTTCAAACACTGCAAATTTTTTTTTTTTTTTTTTAAACAGGGTGCATTTAACAATTCTCTTCCTCCTTTCCCCACATCCTCTGGGGATGGCAGAGCCGGGTTTTCTGCAGTGAGCAGATGTGTGGGGCGGCTGGGAGCTTGCCCAGGGATGGAGCTGGGATGCTGGCACCCTACAGGGGTTTTTCCATGGCTCTGCCTCGCAGGTTTCCCTGGATTTTGTGAAGAGTGGCAGCTACGAGCTGGAGCGGATGGGAGTGACCTTCCCGGCCCGAGCTCACACCAAATCCCCGTTCGACCCCGACAACAAACGTGTGAAGGGCTTTTATTGAGGGCTGCCCAGAGGATGGAGGAGCTGCTGCCTGAACTCCTGGCCCCATGTGTCCCTGCTGGCTCTGGGGCCAGCTGCAAGAGCTGAGCAACCTCCTGGAACTCACCAAGTCAACGTGGGTCGAATCAGAGGGGAGAGGAGGAAGAGATTCCAAAAAGTGCAAAGTGCTCTGTTTCCCAAGTGAAGCGGTGCCACTGCAGCAATAATTCTTTTCCGTGGGTTAATTGGCCTGCAAATGGTGTTTGGTCTCACTGGGTATGAAGTGGTTTCAATTTTTGACTTTGCTGGAAACTCTTTTCCCTCCAAATGTAGTTTCACGCTGCTTGGGAATGATTTTTTTTTAAACTAGCTCTGCTGTTCATACAGCTGGAACCTCCAAACCTGCCATTCCTCTGGTCCCTTGCTGTGTCTGTCCCCACTCCCATGGGTGTCACCTCATCCTGGCTGGCTCCTGGGAACTCTGCTGGAGGGAAGGGGCAGCAGTGCAGGGACATTGCCCAGCTCCTCTCTGCCAGGGCTGTTTGTGTGTCATAATCATGGAATCATGGAGCAGCTTGGCTTGGAAGGTCTGGTTGAGGTGTCAGGGCATAGGTTGGACTTGATGATCTTTGAGGTCTCTTCCAACCTCATTATTCTGGGATTCTCTGTGTGACCTCAAAGCCCATCTCATTCCATGGGTTCCATGGGCAGGGCCACTTCCACTGTCCCAGTTGCTCTGACCCCCATCCAGTCTATCCTGGGACACTTCCAGGGACACTTCCACCGTTTTTCTGGGCTGCTCCTGGCACAGGCTGTGGTGTAAGGTGCCCAGTGAGGGCACTGGCCCCACAGCTGCCCTCGGCCCCATCCCTGGTCCCTTGTGGCATCTTCCCAAAGGTCACCTTGGAGGTGGCTCCTTTTAGCTCCCAGCAGAGAGGGGGGATGCTGGCAGAGGCTGAGCTGTGAGCTCCAACCCCTGCAGCCTCTGGCAGCTCAGAGCCAGCCTTGGGGGCAGAGGGAGGGCAGCAGGGGGGGTTTGCCCTCACACACACGCAGCCTGTACTGAAGGGAAGGATCAGCAACTCCCCATCACCATCCCTTTGCTCTGGTCCCCTCCCGGGCTCTCTGCTGGAGCTTTCACCCGCCTGAAGAAATAATCTCACTCCCTGCTTTTCCCTTTTTCTCCCTTGACTAGGTTTGTTTGGGTCATCCCCTCTTTAGAGCTGATTTCAATTCCTTGCCCCTTGTGCCACGAGCGCCACGGGCAAGAGTGTGAACTTTGAAATGCTTTGGTTTTAGTGAAAACATTAAAAAACAAGACTGAGATGAATTTTTCTCTTGAATAGGAGGTGACTGTCCTGCCTCTGGCAGGCACAGGGCAGGGGAGGGGGGGTGGCTGTGGTCCTGTTTTGAGGGAAGGAGCATTCTGTCTTCCTGCCAAGCCAGGCATCCACTCTGTGCCTGGAAGATCAGGTTTTGCTTTAAAAAGCCTTTTCTGGTGTGCAGTGCTCTGACCTGAGGTTTATTTTACACCCAAGGTGGCTGGGAAGGAAATCTGGGGGTCACTTGGCCTGGATCCCACCTGTCCCAGGGCAGGGCACCGAGCTCTCCTGAAGCACCTCCGTCCTCTCTGCTCCTCCTGAATGTTCTCCATTCAGAGCTCAACAGCAAAAAAGCAATTTATTTTACATTTAGATATTTAATGGAGCGATTTCTCCTGACAAAAGATTTGTCATTCCCCCTCCTCCCCTCCCCTTTTCCAAACCCCATCCCGGAGGTATCGTTTGTTCCCAGCCATTGGCGTCTGGTGGCATCGAGAGTGTGGAGGAGTGGGGGAAGGAGTAGGGAGGGGAGTGCTGGGTGGTTGTTGTGGCACCCCTCCTTCCATCCATCCATCCATCCATCCCTCCATCCCTGCCACAGCTGCCAGCATGGGGGAGCACCTGCAGAGCCATCCTGAGCTAGGCGGGACCGTGGGACGCCGGCAAGGCTTTTGTGCTGCTCCCACACATCCCTTTGCTCCGTGCCTCAGTTTCCCTGCGGGCAAACAAGCTCCTTCCCTCCTCCCTGGGACGGCACAATAGCAAACCTCGCCGTTATTATCGCGGGGGTGGGAAGCAGCATTACTCAGAGCCAGCATTGCTAATAACGCACTAAATATAGCTCTTCCCATCCCCGGGGCGCTCGGTGAACTCTGCCTGCTGAGCTCTCACCCTCTCCGGAGGGCTTGGTCAGGTTGGCATGGCTGTGTGGGCAGGGATGTTCCCCACGGGTGGATGATGCTCCTGCCTGGGGGTGCTCTCCTGGTGCTGGGCTCAGTGGCTGCGGAGCTGGCCCAGGGCCACGGGGGCAGCAGGCTGCGGCTCCGCGGCGGGCGGGCAGCGCGGGCCGGGCTCCCGCAGCCTCTCGGTGATGCTGGGCAGAGGCTGCTTCTCCCACTCGCCCTGCAAGAGAGGTCAAGGTCAGCACAAGATGCTCCTAGCTCTCTCAGCCCTTAAACTATTAGTCTGGCCCAGATACATGAGGCCTTGAGGGGAGGAACATCAGGAGATGGGCAAAGATTCAAAAGAGGTTCTGTCCCCGATGTGGTTGTCCAGCTTCTTTATTCCATGAGATGAGGGGGAAAGAGAGTGAGAACAGGAAGGGTCACGGCCTTATCTAAGCTCTGGACAGGGAGGGCTTCTCTGGCTCTCCGCCATCAGAGCAGGAAGGAAGGACCACTCTTATCCCTGGAAATGGGGAAAAGTATATCCCAAGCACACTGGAACATGCATCGTGAGAGCACGGTGAGTGGAAATGCTTTGCCCTTCCCAAGAAGGTGTTGGAGGCTCGGTGTTTCTGTTTGCTTGGAGAAATATCACGAGTGTCAACGTCTGATGTGGTTTTTAGCCCAAAGCAGGGTGTTTTCTCATGAGATGTCACTAATTATTCCTACTGCAGAAGCACCTACACATCCCCTGAGCGGTGCAGACGTCTGAGGTGTTCCACAAATCCATCCCAGCTGGGGAGTTTCCACTCCAAAAATGTTACCTGCCAAGTTGGGTGGAGACAGCTCAACCCAGGGAGTCCCACAGGCCCACCATGCTCTGGAAAATGCTCCCTTAGCAGGTGCTGGCAGGAATTTCCAGCAGGGATGTGCCCGTGGAGCAGGAGGGATGCAGCAACCTGGCTGAGGTGCCATGGAAGGGCTGTCACAGCCATCAGGCCTCAGGGTGACCACGACAAATGTACATCCATGGTGACACCTTGTCTTGGGAATGCTCCCTGCAAAGAGCAACCTGCCAGGGGCAGGCAGTGCCTGGGGCTGAGCCTGCTGAGCAGGATCTAACTGAGATGTGATGTTGGCCTGGCCTGGAGAGGTGGGCAGGGCTGGGAGGGCACGGGGGGCTCAGCTCCAGGGTGGTGATGCCCTGGTTGGGCTGCCAGCTGCGCGTTCGTGCGGAAATGTCAGCGAGAGGCTGAGCCACAGCGTGAGCAGGAGGAGGGAGATCTGGAGAGGAGAGGTAGAGCCGTGAGTCATCAGCGAGATGAAAGTGGAATTTATGTTTTCAGATGGAATTTTTCCTGGTATGTCAAGCAAAATGGGCCAGAGCTGGCACCAGTACTGGGAAAACCCTGGGGAAAGATGGAGTGGGATGGAGGGAGCTTTCCAAAGCTCATGGGGAGTGACCAGAGAGGGGACAGCTCTGCAGGGGAGCACCAGCTGGAGGAACAACTCCTTTCCTGTGCCCTTATGACTTAGAGGAGCAGTTAAGCATCCTTAGGGTGCTCCTGCTCCAGGGCTGGACTCCATCCCTGAGCCCATCTGCTGCGGCGTCTGCCCTGCTGATACATCCCAAACCCTGAGCCTGCTTTTTGGAGAGATCAAAGGCATGTGGAGTGTCTTGATAGTTGTTGTTTCCAGTGCTTTCAATTGAAATCTGAGCAGAGTTTACTGTGAGCCCTTGTGGGTGCAGGGAAACTTGGGGACAGCACGGTCCCTGCTGCCGCTCACAAGTGTTACCTTGAGATTTGGCTCAGTAATTAACAGCACTCAGTTCCTTCCAGAAATCATCAGATTTGGGATCACTGAACTGCAAAAACATGAGCTTAATTAGAAGCTGGTGCTTTTCTCTTGGCAGAAACAGCATGGAATAAATGAGATGTCTCCAAGTGGGGCTCGCTCTGAAACACCAGCAGAGCAGAGGCTCCTTCACCCTCACTGTGATGCTCATGACCCACTTTGTGCCAACACTGGCTCTGCTCTGCTTGAGGCCCTTCCTGACAGCCCCCAAACCTCTCTGAAGTCGAGGGAGTTGTCTGAGTCATAAATTAAGAGGTTTCATTCATAATTCTGCTGCTGCACAAAACTTCTGCCCCACTTCTGTCCCTGCAACAAAGCTCTGCATGGCGGAGAGATGCCTGGTGTCCAATTCCAGGAAACTGGAAAGGTTTCTGCCCACTTCAGAGTGAAACTTTGCTAAAGGGAATATAGAGTGGCAGAAAGCTGATGTTCATCCCTGCAATCAGCTCAGCACTCTCCTGTGCTGCAGTGGGTAGCACTGGATCCAGGCACAAGATGTCATCCAAATTTATTACACTGAAAAATGGCGTTGGAAGCTGATGCCAGCAGTGGTTTTAAATCACCACCATCATCGTCATGTTCCTCATCTCTTGGCCTGGTTTCATTTTAAAACCCTCCCAGTCCTTTATCCTTCACGTTTTGCTGGATCACCACATTTGGAAGCTGCACAGATGCTGTGTGTAATGAGCTCGCTCTGCTGGGACCTGGGGTGATTTGCCAAAATCCTAAAAACCACCTCACGTTTCTCCTTGGATCTGGCCCTACTTTAACAGTCAGCAAAAGCAGCCTCCAAATCACTTTATGCAAATGCATCTCCTAATTGGATCTGGCTGGGAGCATCCACGGTGGCCTCCTGATGTATTGTCTGAGCACAGGGCTGGGCTGGGCTCCGTGTCCTGCTGATGCCAGGGATTTCCAGGCAGCTCCAGCCCCCTGCCCTGAGCCTGCTGGGTTTGGATGTGTCCTGAGCACCACAGACCCAACCTCACATCTGGGAATTCTGCAGGGAAGCTTTGGGAATGAGGCTGTGCTTACCGGGAACCGGACAGCGGAGGATTTGTTGCAGTGCATGGAGATGGGAGCAAAGCCGTAGAGGGATTTCAGCACATCCCTGTTGAACGTGTTCCAGGGGATGGAGTAAAACTGCTGTGGGACAGACACCTGTGGGCACATGCAGATCTCTTCGTCGTTAAACCTGGGCAGGAGAAAGGCCAGGCTGAAGCACAGCAGTGCTGTGCCCTTCCAGAGCTGGACGTGACCAACTCCTCCCTGCCTGAACCTGGAATGGCTCTGAGGGCAGCGCTGGGCACAGGGACAGCCTGGAGCTGCCAGAACCTGCAGGGCAGCATTTGGGACCAGCCTGTGGGTAGGACACCCTGTGCAAGGTCAGGATCTCCCCTCTCCTCATGGGTGGATGGGCTGCAGCCTCCTCCCCTGGCGTGCATCCTTGGAGTCTGCCTCGGGTTGTAAGGAATATTTTGCATTTATGCACTCAGCCACACACTGACTCTTGCTAAGTCCCTCCCTTCCTTCCTTCCTTGTGTGACCAGCAGGAGCAGGGAGGTTTTTCTTCCCTGTTCTCGGTGCTGGTGAGACCACATCCTGAGTGCTGTGTCCAGTTCTGGCCCCTCAGTTTGGGAAGGACATTGAGATGCTTGAACATGTCCAGAGGAGGGCAACAAGGCTGCTGAGGGGCTTGGAACACAAGCCCTGTGATAAACATTTGAAGGAATTTGGGGTTGTTCAGCCTGGAGAAGAGGAGGCTCAGAGGAGGCCTTATTGTTCTCTACAGCTCCTGAAGGGAGGTTGCAGACAGGTGGGGTCAGGCTTTCCCACCGGGCAGCACTGACAGAACAAGAGGACACAGCCTCAGCTACGTCAGGAAAGGTACAGGTTGGATATTGGGAAAAAAATTTTCACTGAAAGAAAAATAAAATACTGGAATTGTCTTCCCAGGGAGGTGGTAGAATCACCATCTCTGGATATGTTAAAAAAAAGACTGGACATGGCACTTGGTGCTATAGCCTGGTTGTGGTGTCAGGGCATGGGTTGGACTTGATGATCTTAGAGGTCTCTTCCAACCTCATTATCCTGTGATTCTGTGATTCCTGGTGGTTCTCACTACACAGTCATCCTCAAAGCCCTGGGTTTGGCTGCTGTACCTGGGTCCCTGTGCCCCCAGCCCCGCTGTGCTTTACCTGTTGACGAGGTTGAAGTAGCGGTGCAGGTAGCCCGGATCCACAGCGCTTTTGCACAGCTCCAGCTGGGTCTGGGGGTAGTAGTGCACGTAGTTCACACACATCTCTTCCAGGATGCCAAACCCTCCCTGTGGCACAGGCAGGAGGGTGATGGAAGCAGGGTCTGGCTGTGCCCTGCTGGGGCTGCACAGGGGCAGGGCGGGCAGGGGGGCACAGAGCTCACACCTCTGGGTGCACACTCACATGGATCTATAGCTAAAATCCCTGTCAAAATCTGTATCTGAATCTCTAGATAGATAAAGATAGAGATAGAGATAGATGGAGATAGGTATTCACACCCCTTCAGGTGCATGGCATGGGCAGCTCTCTGCTTGTCTGCCCTCTGTGCAAGGACAGACTTCCAGACCGTGTAGTTTACATTAAAATGCAGATTTCCTATAATCCCTCTGCTATATTTAGCCTTGTCCCTGTTGATGGTACCTCTGACAGGCTCTTTTATATTTTTTTCCCACTGCCTATGTAAGGAAATAACATGCACTGTCAAAAAAATGCCACTTCTCTTTAATTACAATTAATCCCTGGTGGAACAGTTTGTGATGGGAATTAGAGTGACACATGCTACTTCACAATTAGCACCTTCACATCCCCGCTGCAGGCAGCAGAGCCTTGTGAGTTCCCTTCTCCCCACCCTGCCTTTGCTTCTGGCTGTGATTCAGCCTGGCTCCATGCAGGTGCCCACTCTGGGGGTGCCCCCAACCCACCCTGGGTTGCCCCCAAAGGCAGGGGAGCTGCCCCTGCACTCACCACGGTGGCTCTGCTCCGATCCTCGGTGTTGTATGTGCAGGTGGTGATGAGTTCATCGCCCTGGGGGCATCAAACAGGAAAATTTAGGGACCAGGGAGTGTTCCACATAGAAATCTCTGCTGCTCCCCATACCAGGAGCCTGCAACCCCTCAGGAATCCTTGCTAAAACTGCATCCCCTGCAGAGATTCCCCAGGGCTGCATCCCAGGGATGGTGTTTCCCATTTGCCTCGCTTTTTTAAGAATTTCCGCAGGGTTGAAAACACCTTAAAATTGCACTTAGGCAAGAGTTAGAAGTGCCAAAACAGGAGCTGAATTGGTGGCACGACAGCCTCCCTGCCACAGTCAGTGCTGAGGAGCACGGGGACAGCCCTGGGCACGGTTCCAGCGGGTGCTGGGTGCTTTGGGCAGCCTCGTGGGGCACAGCAGCTCCAGGAGCTGCCCCCAGCTTTGTAGTCAGTCCCTTCCCCATCTGAACAACCCTGGGGCCGGTTCCATCCTATTTTCTCACCCACTCCCACTCTGATGCCGAATCTCTTCCTCTCCTTGCATCAAGCAAGGCCAGAGGGCAGCACCATGGTGCATCCTCACCCCCTGAGGAGCCTCCCTCTGCCAGACGAAGCCTGGCTAAATTAGGAGCCTCATTTATCTCCTGGCTGCCCACACACCAATTCTGTGCCGTGTGAGAGGGGGCCTGGCTGTCCCCAGAGTATCTGCGTGGAGATGGCATTTATGACCCAGGGATGCTCTCTCCAGCCCCGCTGGGAGTCCCCAGATGGAACGGGGTGGTGGAAGGAAGCAGGGGACTCGGGGCCACAGGATCAGGATGTGCTGTTTGGAACATTTTTTGGGGGGGCAACTCACCGGAAAAACTGCGACCACCTCCTTCAGCATGCGGATCTCCTGGGAGGGGAGGGAAGGGGACACGTCAGAGCAGTGCCACAGTGGCCCTGTGCCCAGGGGTGACAGCCAGCCGTGCCCCCTGCAGCCCCTGTACCTGGAAGTGAGGGCTGTAGTGGCCATCAGCGTTCACAACCTGCCTCTCCCTCCCGTCCCGGGACAGCACCGTCACCACTTTCCTCCCTGCCAGGTGTGTGTGGAGCTGGGAGGCGAAGATGCGGATGCCAGCAGCGGGCAGAGCCTGGGGGAGAAAGGAAAGAAGGAAGGAAGGAGAGCTGGAGCCCACATGGGAGCCCTCTCCCCTCCCTCGCATCCTGGCTGTGTGCTGGGAACTCGCTGTCCCTGTTCTGGCTCTCACACGGGGTTTTGGGGATCGCTGTACCCCTGGAAAAGCATCTCAGGAGCTGCTTGCAGGGGGACAAACCCTCAGAAACCCTCACTGCTGCCAGCCCAACACATCTCAGGAGCTCCTTGCAGGGGGACAAACCCTCAGAAACCCTCACTGCTGCCAGACCAGGACATCTCAGTGAGCTCCTTGCAGAGGGACAAACCCTCACAAACCCTCACTGCTGCCAGCCCAACACATCTCAGGAGCTCCTTGCAGGGGGACAAACCCTCACAAACCCTCACTGCTGCCAGCCCAACACATCTCAGGAGCTCCTTGCAGGGGGACAAACCCTCACTGCTGCCAGCCCAAGGCTCCAGGGCAGCAGGAGCAGCTGAGGCAGATCCTGCTTCCTTCCCTTCCCTCGTTAGTGGTGGCACAAATGATTCCTCGTGGGTAGGCCCTACAAAAACACCAAAACTCCCCTGAGACAGCAAGGTGGGCCCTTTGGAACCAGCTTTGAGGGAGCTCTTGGCAAGCTCCCCCAGAGCAGGAGCCAATTTTCCCAGCCCTGTGAGGGAAAGCACCACTGGGCCACGGCCAGCTCGGCAGTGAGATTTTTGGGAATGGTACCCCGGGGAGCTGGAGCAGATGGCTCCCCAGGAGAGCTGCTTCCAGGAGGATCCAGCACATCCCAACCAGCTGCTCTCTGTTTATTGTACACAGCAGATTTTTCTTTCCAGCTCTACCTCATGAGTGTGAGTTTAAAACTTCAAATTGGCAGCCTGGAGGTTGGTGCTGCCTGGAGCCGGGGAAAAGCCACGGAAAACCTTTCTCCTCTGAGGTGCAGCCGGGCCGGAGGGGACAGCACTCACCAGCTGGGTGCATTTATCAGTGCAATATCCTGTGAGGACGAAGCTGTCCTCTCCAGGGGGAATGGCCATCACTGGGGTGTAGACCAAGCCCAGCTCCATGATTCCGGCGTCGTAGGGACGAAGGGTGGCCGTGTAGTACAGCCGGATCCCCGAGGAGTCACGGCGACCTGGCGGGCCAGGGGACAGGGACAAGTCACTGCAGGGACAAGGTCAAAAGGTGAAAAACAAGGACAGGTGAAAAACAATGTTGGGCTGGCGTGGGGAGCCTCTCGCTCCCAGCTTCCTTCCTCTGTTTGGAATTGGTTTAAATCCTACAGATTTTCGTGCAAGTCTTCACTGAGTGGCCCCAGCTACACCTGGTTCCCTGGCACTGACCTGAGGTTGAATTGTCCCAGGACAGCAGGGTAAGGGGTGCCTTTGGAGAGCCCAGAGCAGAAGGACAGAGCGTGGGGTGCTTTGGAGGACTCCCTCAGGAATGTGGCTCACTGCAACTTCTTCAATCCCAAAATCCCAAAAGGTCACGCAGGCAAAGGGCAAGAGCAGGGTCCATAGGCCGGGAGGGGTTCAGGCCAGCTCTGAGCTCCCTGTCTCCAGGCTGGAGCCCACCCAGGGATAAGAATAACGGGGGAGACACTATTGGTTAACACGCAAAAGCAGATGAATGATGGAAGATGTGAACTCTGTATTTATAGCCGTGTTTCTTCTCGAGTTGCCGAATGTGCTATGATTGATCCACAGTACATATGCTCTGGCCTCCTAAAAATATCCTTGGGTAGTCAAGAAGCTGCTTGTTTTTATGTTAATGAAGAAACTGGGTTGTTTGGAATCCTTTTTTTTCCCCAATGTGTCTCCTGACAATGTTATCGAAGCAGGAGAACAGGAATCAACATCCACATCCCCCCTCCCCAGGCAGCCTGGTCTCTCTGGTGACTTGGCACTGCTGTCACTCTTGCTCTGAGCTCAGACCCAGCCCCACTGAATCTATAATCAACACAACCAGCTGATAGAGCTGATGAAGCCACTCCCCACCACCTTGTGTGGAAATTGGGGGCACTCCTGAGACAGCCCAGCTGGATCCTGGTGCTGCCCTGGATGGCATCCTTGCAGGAACTCTGTGAGGGCAATTTTCTGCCTGCAGGCTCCTTTCCCAAGCATCCCACCCCACCTCTGGGCATGCACTTCAGTGAGGATGACTTTGCTGAGAGCAGAAAAGCAGCAGCATGGTGGGGATTGAATGGATTCTTCCTGCAGGGACAGATCTGGACCATCAGCTCTCCACAAGGTTGGGAACAGGGCCATGATTGAGGCCAGAGACCTCCCCAGAAGGTGGCAATCCTTCCCTGGAATTCCCCCAGCTCTCCTGTGTGGTCTGGCAGGTAAAGCGACGGGCAGCCCCTCACCTGTGAACACCAGGGGATTGTGGTAATGGATCTCCAGACGCAAATATCTGGAGGAGCCTGGGCCACCAAAGGCAAGGCCGGCTTCTTCAGGGTAATAGAAAGCCTGGAAGCAGAAGGGAGGGTGTTAGGGGAGCAGTGGGGTGGCTTTCCTGGGAACAAGGCTGGGAAGCCTAAGGGAATGTGTGGGTGCAATCCTGACCCACACCATGGGCTGAGGGACATGACTTGTGCCCGTGGTTGTGCTTGGAGAGCTGCCCTTGCTTCCAAAAGCCTCTCTCACTCCACGTGCACAACACTTGAATTGTGTCATAGAATCATAAAATACCCTGAGTTGGAAGGGACCCACAAGGATCATCAAAATCCAGGAGAGGACAGCCCCAGGAATCCCTGAGCTGGAAGGGACCCACAAAAGGATCATCAAAATCCAGGACAGGAGAGCCCCAGGAATCCCTGAGGTGGAAAGGACCAACAAAAGGATCATCAAAATCCAGCTCCCAGCCCTGCACAGGACAGCCCCAGGAATTCCTGAGTTGGAAAGGATCATCAAAATCCAACTCTTGGCACTGCACAGGACAGCCCCAGGAATTCCTGAGTTGGAAAGGACCCACAAAAGGATCATCAAAATCCAGGACAGGACAGCCCCAGGAATCCTTGAGCTGGAAGGCACCAATTAAAGGTTCATCAAAATCCAGCTCTTGGCCCTGCACAGGACAGTCCCAGGAATCCCACAAGTGCCTGAGAGTGTTGTCCAAAACCTCTTGACCTCCCTCAATCTTCGGGCCGTGACCATTCCCTGGGGAGCTGTTCCAGCATCCCACCCCACTGATTTATGGCACCAAAGAGGAGGAGAGCTGGGGGGAAGTAGGAAATGCCAGGAACCCCAGCAGAGAACAGGGTGAGGGCAGCCCCAGGGTGGCACGGGGAAGGTTTGGGAGGCCGTTGTCACCCAGGGGGACGTGTCCCCTGTCACACCCACCTGTGCCCCCATGGCCCAGGCTGCCAGCACGTGCCTGCAGTAGTTGAGTCTCTCTGGCTTCATCTTGGAGTCGCAGGGCCCGTTGTAGAGGGGGAAGCTGTCGAAGTGGGCTGCACACTGGAAAACCTCCATGTGGTGCACAAGAGCCTCGTTGCCCGCCGTGACCACTGGCTCGTACTGCAAGGCAGGACCAAGGAGGAGAGGACACACTGAGAGCCCATCCTTTGGCTCTGCAGGCTCCCTGAGGAGCCAGGGCAGGAACGTCTGTGAGCTGGTCCCAGTTTCTGCCACAGGATGGGGAGGGAAGGTTGCTCAGGGCATGAGGCACCAAGGGCCAAGAGCTTTCACCCCACATTTTGCTGATGGCAGAGTACTTCGCAGGGGAAACAATATGTTAGTAGTGCCCCAGGAGCATTTAGGTCAGTTGTGGAAATATTAAATTTCTTGGCTGGCTTGGGAACCAACCCAGAGCCCACCTGAACCCACAGAGAACCAGCTCATCTTTTCTCCAGCAAGAGACAGGGATCAGCAGAAGATCTTGGTCTGTTTTATAACTGAATCCCTTACCGGGGTAAAGGTGGCCCTGGGGATGTTGTATTTTCCTACAGAGAGTCCTGGCTGTGTTGTTGTTGCAGCTCTGCCTGCAGCCCTTGGGTTTTGTTTCTGTCCAGCAGCTGCTTGGGGCACGGGGAGGGGGATTTGGGGTAGAGAGAGTGACTCAAGCCTGAGGAACATCTCTGGCTAAAAATGCCAGCTGTAGAACTGATCTGCAGCAGCGGGAAGGTATCAGGAGTTACACACTTCTTACTTACACACAGATGATTCACTTCACACCATCTGTCAGGGAGAAAATCCTCCTTCTGAGCCTTCCTTTGCAGCGCCGTCTGTCCCCTCGAAATCACCCAGCGCTTGCTGCAGCTCGAGTGTCTGAAGGTTTTCCTCGTCCCCGTGGTGTGGTTTTGACTCTGGATGTGCCAGGTCACCTCCTGAGTCACCCCCACACCTGCTGGGTGCTCTCCCATCCCCTCCTCGGGGCTGCCAGCAGGTTTCTGCCTCTCCTTTGCAGGAGATGGCCCAAGCAACACGTCTGGCAATGCCCACAAGCTCCATTTACGTCTGTAACTCTCTTTTTTCAGACTATGCCTCATCTTTTAGATGCCAGTTCCCATCCTGGCTGGCTCTGCCCTGCTCCCATCAGTGCTTTCCTTTGTTTCCTGTGGTTTTATGCTCCTCATGGCTCTCTGTGAGCCAAAATCCTGCTGTGGGTCTGTTCCTTCTGCAGGGAGTCAGCTCTGAGCCTGCCCTGGAACCTGCTGGATGTGCCAGGTGGGAACACATTACCTGGTTCCCCTCCTGCTGAGACACTCTAGGAGACAAGAGGATGCTACTGACTGGTGGGGTGGACCTGGATGGAGTTTTGGGACCACATTTGGACGCCAGGGTCGGAAAGGTTCCCTGTGACGTGGAATTTTCAGGATGTGAACACAATTACTGACCCACCCTGGGGAAAGCAGCCCTCTTCTCCTGCCCCTTACCATGATAATGTGGTGTTTGGGGAAGCCCTCTGGGAGTTCTGTCATGTAACACCAGTAGGTCGTCTCCTGGCTGGGAATGACAACATCTGGGGCTGTTATCTCCATGGTCTTCATGTCTCTGGGCAGCTGAGGGATGCTGATGTTGGGTTTCAGCAGCTGCACCCTCTGCAGCCCCCCGTGGAGGGCAGAGATGTTGATGGCCTGCAGGGAACGCACCGGTTTCTCCAGGATGCCGTAGATCAGGTGCACGGTGCCATCCTGAAGCCAGAGCAGAATAGATCTGTGGGTTTTTCATGCACAGCAGGAGCTGCACGGGCCATTAGCACCAGCACTGGTGGTGTGAACCCAGAAATGGGTCTTGTGATCCCACCCTGACTGCACCAGCAGCTCTGTCTGCTGTGCTGTCCCAGGAAAGCTCTACATCCCAGGGTATTTCTCTGGCTGATGTGGTCACTGGGGGTTCCCTAGCAGGTTCCCCATCAATTCCAAAAGGGTGACACTTCCTCTTTGCTCCTTCCAAGCCCCTCATGAGCTCCAGGCTGGGACAAACCCATCAGTGCAGGGCTCATCCTCCCCTGCAGCCCAGGGGGGTAACAGCAGGAACAAAACTTCTCCCTGAAGTCCTCCCTTTTCTTCCAGCTTCTTTTCAGGGGGAAGGTACCACAAGAAGCTCTGCTGAAAGCCTACTGCAAACAAGAATGCTGGGAGCTCTGGACAGGAGATAAGGGAAGGAGGAAAAAGAGAACAAGCTTTTCCTGAAGGATCAGAGAATAAAGACCAGCAAGTGTTTTCGTGGCTCACACACACAGATTGTTCCCTCCAGGGCTCTCAGTGTTTTGGCAGACGACAGACACTTCTCACCACAAGAGAAGCTTTTGAGCACCAGCAGCAAAAGCTCGAGGACACTCTGTGCCCACGTTGGCTCTAAAATATCCTGCCCACAAAGGCTTTCATGTGAGATGAGCCTTGCACTGATTCCAGGGCCTGTAGCTGAGCTCCTGAGCTGTCTGACATCCCCCACTGGGAAGGTTTACCCCAGATCCCAGCTCAGAGAGGAGTGGTGGATGCAGAGCCAGGGAGACGTCACCGAGCCACCCAGGAGCACGGAGCAGCACCTCTATTTGCTTGTCCCAGCTCCTGTCACCACCCTCCTGTTTGCCTCCTGTTGATACACCAACCCCTCTTCGTGACACTCCCAACAGTTGGCTGCAGGCTGTCAAGCAGAGTGATGCAGGAAGGATTTATATAGACCCAATGCATGTTCAACAGGAGCTGATGATGCAAACGAGCTAAAAGCTACACTTTGAGAGAGCTTTTGAAGGGCTTGTGAATAGATGGTGCCAAACATTACTCATGGGCCAGGGCTGACATCTGTAGCTCACTTCCTCTCTGCCTCACACTGCACCAACACCTGATGCTGTGCCCAGCCCTGCAGGATGGGGCTGGGGGGGGCATGCCATACCTCTATCAGGTAGTCCTTGGGGTCACAGGTGCTGAAGGCTCTTCTGAAGAGGAGGTAGAGCCCCTCAGGAGCCCTGCGAGCCCCGAGGAGCTGGTAGTCCTGCTGGGAATCCATGTGGAGCTGCCCGTTGGAGTCGCTCCAGGCATCCTGTGAGAGAGAGAGAGAGAGAGAGAGAGAGAGAGAGAGAGAGAGGGAGCAGCCTGCTCAGCCAGGAGGTACCTCCAGATGTAGCACAGGTCCTCCTTTGTTGGAATCTGTAGTATTGATGATTCTGAAATTGCAAAAAGTCTCTGTCTGTCAGCCCCGCTGCCAAAGCAGAAGCCATAATTGGTCTGTGCTGGTTTCCAGGTTGTTTATTCTGTTTATCTCTCACATGTTCTGCTGCCCTGCCCAGCTCTGTCCTGCAGGGCAGCGTGTGGGGCTCTGCCCTCAGTGGGATGTGACAAACATTCAATACCAGAAACTCCCTGGGCTGGATTTACAATAACGTGCCAATATCTGTCCCCTACGTTGGACAGTGTGTCCCCAGCCTGAACCAACAGAAAAATGCCAACACCACAGTGAGACATGGAGGGCATGAAGAAGGAGAAAAAGGACAAGGCACACCCAATTTCCTCCATCTTGTCCCCTTTGGACCCCTTATCTAGAATCCTAAAATTTTACTTTTGCACCTGTGCCACACTTAATTATTACTTCTATCAAACACTCAGAGCTGGCAATTGATCCTGTAAGATTGAAAACTCTTTTCCATGGCCAGAGATCACAGACAGTGTTTCTGAGGGCTCTGTACAGGGGGGTTCCTGACCCCTGCCAGGGTCCCAGACCTGCCAGGGCAGCCAGAGGGAAGCCCTGGATTCCTACACTCCTTCTGTGCACCCTCAGCATCCCAGAGCTGCAGGATGCCTGTGCTTCGGTTCATGCCCACCTCCAGCATCCCTGGACAGATCCATGCTGGAATGGCCTCTGCTGCAGAATCCCTGGCGCTCACACAGCCCTGGGAAACACCTGACCCAGCACTAACAGTCTGCAGAGAGACCTTTACAAGCTGAGATGTGAGTGGGGAAAGGTTGGGAAGGGAGGGAGGAAAGCCCCAGGGACATGTGAAGGTGTTGGGTTGGTCTGTGCTGTATTTTGGGTGTGTTTGTCTTGGGGGGATACTGTGGAAGGGGGTGCTGGGCTCTCCAAAATTCTTGGCACAAACCAGCCTCCCTCAATTTAAGATCAGACCCTTGCTGGTCTGTAATGTCAGCCCTAGAAATTGCTGCCCTTGTGCAAAATCCTTAAATTTTTGTGGTCAGATTGTTCTGGCAGCCCAGCACAGCCTCCCAAAAACTGGTGACAAAAAGGATGGTGACAAAGCCACCCCAAGAAGCAAAGCAGCGGGGTATTCCTGTGCCTCAGGGTTTGAAGGTTTGGAGTATAAAATCCTGCGATAATTTGAATTTGATCAGGGTTGTTTCTCTGATCTTTTGTTTCTCCCGTGGGTCTCCTGTTTACTCAGAAAAGACACCCAGGAAGTGGCTGGCTGTACGCACACAAGTGGCACTTATCTTGGGAGGAAAAACCAGAAGAAAAAGGATAAAGCAACTTGGCATCATTTCAGCCAGAGCTATAGAGTCATATTTCCAGAACATATTGTCCTTAGAGGGGGAGAGGGAAATCAGCTCCATGGAGCTCTCATGACATTTGTTTCCGTAGGAATAAGGAGCGCAAGTTAATCTCATAGTACATGGGGGGCTGAACAAATGTGGATCTTTTTAACAGCCGACACACTTATGCAGAGGAAAAGCTGCTGGGAGAGAGAAAAGCAGGGCTGGAGAGATTTATAGAGATCCTTGCAGGATGCTGCTCAGCACTGAGTGAAAGAGAAAACCCGAGCGCTGCCGCGTGTTTCTGTTTGTCTTTGGGTGAGCGCAGGAAGGCAGATTAGAAATGTTCCTTTATGTTTTCTTAACGTGATGCTGTGAAATCCTGGAGCATTTGGCCCACCACAGCCCCTGAAAGGCTGGTAATTAGCAGGAAAACAGCGCAGATAATAAACCCTTCTTTTCATGCTTTCATTACACTGCGGATCACATTGCGGCTGATTGCGAAAGAATGTGTTTTATGGTTAATTTGAAGTAAGCAGAGAGGTAAAATTTAACTTACTGGGAAGCCTCACACGGGCAAAAATGGGAATTGGTTTCTGCAGGCAAGCACAATCACAATCAGCCTGATGTGGTGGGCTGGGGCATAGGGCTGGAGAGCCCAGGGCTGGGAAAAGCACCCAGACAGGAACCCACCAAACAGACAGTGGCAGGAAGGACGGAGTTTGCAGCAGGAACAGCAAACAACACAGCTGGAAATCAGTTTTCCCAAATACATTTGCACCTTTAATTTCTGACAGCACCCCAGGCTGCCCTGTTATCCCGTTGATCCCTCTGGATGCAACTCTCAGCCGGGTTCTTCCTGCTGGCAGGAGCAGCCCCTCTGCCTGGTGACTTCTGCCCTGTCTCAGAGCCATTAATGGGAGCTGTGGTTAATTTTTAATGTGGTGGCAGCAGCCCACGAGTGAAGCAGGATGTTGATGCATCCTCTGTGTGTGTGTGTGTCTTTGCAGCTAAACACAGCAGAGACACCCAGCTCCTGGCTCCCTCAAGCCTTGCTGATGTGCTGCTGTGGTTATTCTTTTCTTTTTTTTTTTGGGTTAATCCCCAAACGCCAAACCCACCGTGTGGATCTTCGTGGGGGAAAACCACCAAGACCTTCTGCACCCTGAGTGGTGGGGCAAACCACCAGCACTCAGAGAGCTGCATTCACGGGCAGGGAACCCCAAAAACATCCATGCAATGTGACAGGTGACTCACCCCAAAGTAGGAGTTGTGCCCGTCGCTCCAGAGCACGGCCAGGTCCGCATTCTCAAACTCGCCCCTGTCCGACATCCCAAAGAGGAGCCCAAACTGCAGCTCCCGGACGAGGAGCTGGAAATGCACGGCTTGCTCGGGGTAGCTGACGTTCCACGAGAGCTCCAGCAGCCCCTGGGGATCCAGGGGCACCTTGTAGGGGAAATCGCTCTGGCGGGGCGCCGAGCCCTGCAGGGCCACCACCAGGATGACCAGGAACGCTGCCACCATGGTGAAGTACATGGATGCCACCTCCCGCAGCTTGAGGCTGGGGCAGGAGCAGGGCTTGCTCCTGGAGCTCTGCATCCTGCCAGGATGGCACCCGGTACCTGGCCGTGCCCATTTATGTGCTGGCCCTCCTGGGCAAGCCGGGTAAGCGACACTCTTTAATTGCATTTCCTTGTTGGGAAATTGGGCTGGTGTATTGACCCCCCGTCAGCTCCTGGCCAAACACTTGTCATCTGCTGTCTGCCCTTAATTGGCTCTAATTGCACATGGACATTATCAATAGCAATTGGGTTTGACTGGGCTGATGCGATTGGCTCTTAAATCTTCTTTAGTGGCTGGGAAGGGTTGTTTGCTCTCAGGCTGAGCCCTGGTGGACATGCTCTGCACTGCTGGTGGTGCCTTTGTCCCGGGTGTCCACGTAACCCAGCCTGGGATCACCCCAAAGGTGGCCAGACATGAGAGCAAAGGACCCTGAGCCTTGCCTGAGCTCCCAGGCATTAAGTAGTACTGACAGGGTTTGAAATATTTTCCCTGCAAAGCTCAATGCCAGAGAAAATGCTGATTTCCTCAAAAAAAGCAATAAAAGAGATGTCTCCTCTCCCCTCTCCTCTCGTTTTTGGCCTTTGTGGGATTTAATTCTGGCCATTTCAAACTCAGCAAAGCCCAGCTCCTCTCCCACCCTGCTTTGTACCCATTGAAGCCCCCACCTGCCTAGACCATTGGATATATTCAATATTTATTATTTCTTTGTAGCAGCTGAGACCTTGGTTCCAGTTTAAAGACACCTTTAGTCTCCCCCACCCCCCGTCCCGCTTCCCATTTGTTTAAAATCTGATGGATTCTCTTTCAGTTATTAACTTCCCCACGTTAATTGGAATTATAACGAACTGCCTGGAGCTCTTTGATGTGCATACACATGCACAGAGGATGGTTTAGCCTGTTTATTGTTGTTTATTAATGCCACCTCGGGTCCCCTCCGTGCTCAGCTTTCTCTCCTGGTCCTTGCAGCAATGTCCCGGGGGCACACCCGCCTCCCCCAGCCCTGTGCAAGAGAGGAAATGGATTCAGCTCGGCGTTTCCATGAGTCATCAATGGCAGCATCTCCACCTTAAACCCGAGGAGCTTTTGCTGTCCTAAGACACCACCATTACTCAGGGATGCGTCAATTGATCTCTCTCCTTGCCGGTGACCTGCTGCTCGCAGGGTTTGCTCTCTCGTTCAGCCCCAGTGTCAGTGCTCAGGAGCACACAGAATCACAGGATATCATTATCTGCAGGTGATTTTATTGAGAGCTCTGGGAATCAGGGGTACAGACCCAAATCTGACTCTGACACGGCTTTCGAGCTGAACGTATTTTATATTCTATCCTTATATAACTCACATATTAATTATTAAATTTATATTGTTATATTGTGTTCATTGACATGAGTTTCTCGTGATCTTTCTTAGGCCCCTGACCACAGTTTCTCATTATTATTCTTACGATTAAACAGTAATTATATTTAATTCCTAAACAATCATCACATCTAACAATATCAGTTATCATGTACTAGCTACACAGGTGCAGTTCTAGCAAGGTACAAGGTCTTCATGTACCCCGGGTATTTTTTTTTCTTTTCAGGACCTACTAAGCTTATTTTTCCTTTTAAGCGTAAATGCCCATGATTTTAAAACCCTTTTACTATCACCACCATGCAAAAGGCCAAGGCACAGGGAGGGTTGGAAAGCTGATTTCTGCCAGAGGAGCTCCCTCAGCCCCATCCCTCCCCCAGAGACTCCAGTGCACAGCCCAGTCCCACACCAGCCCTCCCACTGCTGCTTAAAAGCCCCAAATGCACGTCTGGATAGCAGGAGGTGGCTGGAGCTGCCTGGGAATGTTCCCAGCATGGCATCTCCGGGGTTCTGTTCATGGAGCTGCTCCTGGATCTGCACCTCACCCCATCCACAGCTCTCTTCACCTTCCTGAAGGAGGATGCAGCATTTTCCCCTTTCCCTGAGGCTCCTGGGCTCATTCCTGGCCACACTGAAGGCATCAGATGATGTCCCTCATCCCCCAGCCCTGCTGCTCCAGCATGACACGAGTCTGGCAGCCTTACAAAAGCCCCATGGAACAGATCTGTGTCCTTCCTTATCCCTGATCTCCTCCAAGCAAATTCACCCACATGTCCTCCTCTCTTGGCTTCGTTTCCTCATTGTAAAGAGAAGAGGCTGAGCTGCCAAGCACGGCAGGAAGGCAAAGTGATCCTCACCGGGGGCAGGAGGGGTCCTCAGCTAACAACTTCTGCCTCCCTCTATCAGAGACGAAAGCCCAGGTTGCTGGCGTGTGCAAGTGGAGCTCCTGAGCTCTCCTGTACAGGAGGAATTTGCAGTGGAACAGCAGAACACGGGCAGGTCAGCTTGAAAACAGCTGAACTTTGCAGATAAGCGCTGGGAATTTATTTGAAGAGAGAGAGAAAAAAGATTATGTACATGTCTCTCTCTCCTCCCCTTCAGTTTCTCTGGAGTCGTGGCTCATAAATCCAGGCAAGGAGTGAGGATCCAGCTTTCCACTCATTGCTGGGGTGTTTATTTTAAGACTCCAAGGAGATGTAGAAAGGTTTTCGCAGTTTCCTGACTTGGAAACTCGGACCATTCAGGAGCAGCATCCCACGAGAGGGCTGTGGGGTGGCAGCCCTGGGTTTTGCCCTTTCCTCCAGGGCAAAGCAGCTGCTTCGTGCCCCTGTGGGAGCTCCTGAGGAAGGGAATGCCGGCAGGACTGGAGATGGGACTTTCCGTGCCCCTCTGCAGGCAGAAAAGCAGAAAAGATGCCCAGGAACACCTGGAGCGGGCTGAGACCCCCAGGGCAGGGCTGGTTTGGGCTGGATGCTGAACGCCCCGACAGCACCGGCTGTTGCTGAGCTCAGCCAAACCCTCCTGGTGACAAAATGCCGTGGTTTTCCATCTCCACACAAAGCTGGTGGCTTCCTGAGCCCTGGGAGCCGGGCAGGGAGCGGGGAGCAGCGGGGGCTGCCCGCCTGGAACAAAGGCTGCCCTACAGGTGCGGAGTTTAAACGCAATTGATGCTCCGAATTAGGGGCTGAAGCAAGCAGCAGCCCTCTGAGCTATAATCCATTGCCTGCTAACAGAAATGGAAATTCAATTTGGGCAAGGGCAGGGAGGGGAGGGGAGGGGGGAAGATTTCTGTCTGCTCCCGTGCCCCGGGGGCTCTGCTATCCACAGGATATCCAGCCCCAGGATCGAATTTGCCCGGGTGCTGATGAGGTTTGGCAGTGTCTGACTCGGGCTGGAGCCGTGTGTGAGCAGGGGAGAGCTGGGCTGGCACACAGAGGGATGCTCACCTTTTGGTGACCCTGCAGGGGTCAACGTGGGCCATTCCCCTGGGCAAATGCATCCCTCAGCCAGCAGATCAGGGCCCTGGAGCAGCCCCACGACTCACAGGATCTGTTCCACCACGCCCCAAGGTGGGGAGGATTGTTTATCATCCTTCCCAAAGGATCCCTTTGCCCAGCCCTGTTCCCCTAATGAATTAGAAGGGATCTGCAGGCTGCTCATTGACATTTTTTATGCACCAGGAGGGCACTGGGGCTGCCAATCTGAGTTTCAATTGCCCAGCAGGGGTACAGGTGAGTGTCTGCCCTCTCTAAAGTAGCTTTAGTGTCCCTGTGTCACCCGGGCCACAGCGAGCTGTGAGGTTTTGCAGGGAACTTCCACGTGTGACAGCAGCCTGGGCTGTTTTAACTCACAGATGTGCCACGTGCCAGCCTGGACAGGACCCTTGGAGGTGACTGATCCAGCAGGAATGGGTGGGAATGGCCATGGACACTTGGAAGTGACTGATCCAGCAGGGATGGGTGGGAATGGCCTTTCCTTCCTCCTTGCCCTGAGTTTGTGCCTTACAGCCCAAATGCTGTAGCATCCCCCAGTCCAAGCCTCTGCTTGTTCCAGTTTCTTGCTTTCTCCCAGCCTGTTTTGCCTTCCTCAGGAACAGATTTTCTTTGTTTTGTGCTGTGGAAGAAAACTTTTGCCTCACTCCCCATGAGGATCACGTCCAAAGGGGAACCAGCCCCAGACCTCTCCAGAGAGCCGCTCACCCCAAATTAGGGACAGAGCTGGACCTGAGAAGTTCTTTATAGCTCAGTTTCTGAAGGTGAGGACAGCACTGCCCTGACTGAGAAGCTCCATCCCTTCTGCCTCTCCTCCTGCTCCAGCTGTGCACCCACAGATCTGCAGGGCCAAAGGTGGGTGTCTGGCTAAGCCACGGTGAGCTGGTGGTGGGACAGCAGGAGGAAGGCCAGAATTACCCAGAGGAAAGCCCTATGTGCTCTTTGGGAGGTGGTCCTGCCCTGCCAGGTGCTCCAGGCTGGGTGAGCAGAGCATCCCAGAGAAATTCCCTCCCCAGTGCTGCCGCAGCTGAGGCACCTAATGAGATCTCCTCGCCTGTGAGCATGCTATATTAGGGTTTCCATGGATATGGTGTCACAAACACTGGGCTGTGGCTTTGTTATATAAACAGGAGAGATTGCCACAAATACCCAAAATATCCAAAAAGGACAGGAAGAGACAAAAGTGTTCTCTGGGTGTGTTTATAAAGCGTTGTGTGATCCAGGGGATAGTGCCAGTGGGAGGTGGGAGAGGTTTGGGTGAGTTTTGGGAAGTAGAGTTTAGCTGAGGGGTGGTCTCTGACTCGGGAGCTCTGGAGAGTCACCTTGATCTTCAGTGGGATGTTTTTAAATGAACAAAAAGGTGCTGCTGGCTGGGCTGGTCCTGCTCTGCTCGTGCCTGAGGGCTCCTGCAGCTCCTGGTGTGAGTGGCATCCTTCTCCATGAGCAAGTCCATCCTCACTGAGCCTCACAAATCCTGGGCATCCCCTGCTCCTGCCATATACAAGGAAATCCTGCTTCCTGCTGGGACCAGGGCTGGTGATGGTGGTGGGGACACAGAGGCACCAACTCTCCCAGGACTGCCCACTCCTGACCCTGCTCTGAAGGACCAGCTCATTTTTTAGCATTTCAGGTGCAAAAAGTCCCTTTTGTGCAGTCGAAAGGATCGTGTAATGTGAGGAAAAAGCTGCTCTAGAATGGAGGTGGGATGTAAGGGACACAGAGACATCAGGGTGGCTAAAATTGTATTGCACTCCCACTCCCCTGCCAATAACAACACCAGAAATAAAGTGGCTTTGCAATAACCATCTCCAC